ACTGTCAGGAATTCAGTTTACAATAATTACTCCAAGTCCAGTGACTGCTAGGGTCACTCTTTAACCAGTGGTTAAATGAAAAATGAGAGTTGATTGGTATAGGAAATCTTGGCAATGGCTTGGACTATTTCTCCTTCTACAATCCTCATCAAATAAGGGGCACACAACAAATTGCTTATCTCTGATCTGCAATTCTCCCCTCCACCCAGCTGGAAATTTGAATTAATTAATAAACGCCCTTATGTTTTCAAGGTCATGGAAAATGAAGAGCACTCAGCAAAATGGATGCACTGACAGTGAAGGGTGTTTGTGGGTGGGTTTTTTATGTAAATGGAAAAATCTGTGAGGCAGCAGCTCCTTCATCTGTACCGTGAGTGCTAAAGTTAGACAACTTAAAAGGAAATAAAGGGAGTGCAAATAAATTATGCTTTGAAAAAATGTGACCTTCCCTAGAAAAAGTCTGAGGCTTTCTGGAGCAGTCTCCAATCACACAGTGAGGCCAATGACACCATGAAGTCAGGGGGCTTCACTCTGGCTTTGGTCTGTCCCTGCTGACTGTGGACAACTCTGCTTTGTGGCTCCTTTTTTCCTCACATAACTAAGTGCACACATAACACACTCTACTTTATGAGCTTTCACAGCTCCCCTGTAAAGCTCAAGCACCCTCACAAATAATATAATTTAAGGAGTAAGATCACAGAGTCACAGGATGGTTTGAGTTGGAAGGGACTTTAAAGATCATCCAGTGAAGGTGTCATTCGGGTATATGACACTTGACAAGTTAGGAATGTCACCACTAGATAAACAGGAACAATAGGTGAACTAGCAGGATCGGTTCCTGGAGGAACTAACAGGATCAGTTCCTGGAGACACACTAAAATTTATTAACTTCTGGGGAAAAAAGGATAATTGAAGATACTGAGCCAGAAGGGCCCTTTAATTCTTGTGGGGCTCGAAAGGTGGATTCTCAATCCAATCTTAATCTCGACATGGCCAGTGAAGAGAGAGACTGTGAGGTATAACTGCAAATTACAGCTGGGGGCCTCAGGAAAGACATTGGAGCTGCTGGAGCGAGTCCAGAGGAGGCCACGGAGCTGCTCCAAGGGCTGGAGCCCCTCTGCTCTGGAGACAGGCTGGAGAGCTGGGGGTGTTCACCTGGAGAACAGAAGGCTCAGGGAGATCTCACTGTGGCCTTCCAGTACCTTAAGGGAGCTTATGAAAAGTAGGGAGGGGGACTTTTTGAATGAGCAGACAGTGACAGGGCAAGGAATAATGGTTTTAAAGTGCCAGAGAGAAGGGTTAGATTGGATGTTGGGAAGAAATTCTTCCCTGTGAGGGGGGTGAGGCCCTGGCCCAGGTTGCCCACAGAAGCTGTGGCTGCCCCATCCCGGGAAGTGTCCAAGGCCAGGTTGGACGGGGCTTGGAGCAACCTGGGCTAGTGGAAGGTGTCCCTGCCCATGGCAGGGGGGTGGAATTGGATGGTTTTTAAGATCCATTCCAACCCAAATAATTCCCAGATTCTGTGGGATTCTGGTGCCAAACACAAGTCATCAGACTTCACTCCTACTTTACAATGATACTGAAGTACCTTCAGTCAGAAACGCACTGATTTAGTTTCTGTTTTTCATTTAAAAATGTAAAGCTTATTGCAAGGGGGTAGATTTTGTCAAGGAAAAAAGTGAAACAGGATAAAACTGCTGAGTAAAATTCAGTGATTGCAGTTCACACAGCTGGGGAATGAGGTCTCCTGAAACATGAAGCTCCTCAGGACAGCAGAGGCCACCATAAGAAACCTCTAAATTCACCTCCCCCATGCTGACACATGTTGGCAGAACTGGATGAGGGTATTTTGGGGAGGGGTACAGAACTGCTGGGCAATAATCCCAGATGCTGCAGTTTCATTAGAACTGAGAGATGTGGGCAGTGAGGCCGCCCACTGCAGATCACATTCTGATGAAAGCAGGTACAACTACAGGAAACATTAATTAATGGAATAAACTTCAGGAAATACCACAACTTCTAACAAAGCAACTAAGGAATAAGGTAACACTATTTATTACAGAAATCAAAGCAATAAATCAAGTATTCTGAATAAAGCATTCTCACTAGCCTGTCCTTTATGTCTCTGGAGTAATCCCATTCATCCTTTTAACACGGCTGGGTAGAAGCAGATGGGAAATTGTCAGTACCACAGGGAAACTTCCAGAATTTCTAAAATGTACCTTTTGTTCCTTATTTTATCCATTTCATGCACCTGGCAGCCTGGATTTTGTTAATACACTATTGGTCCAATTTGTATGAGCTACTGCAGTCCATCCCCTGCACTTGTGGCAAATCTACACTCACACTTGGCGGTCACGGTGACATGACTTTATTGTTGCTGTTATTACCTCCATTATTATTAAAAATCAATAATGTAGACAGCTCAGCAAAATGTCCAGTACCAAAATCAACTGTTAAATGTCTAACAGTAGTATTAACCCATTATCAAATCCATATGGTGCAGGAATGGATCTCTCTTCCTGCATGGATCTCTCTACTTCTGGCAGAGTTTCTGTAATTTATTGACACGACCAGGTACTTCTGCAGTGAGAAAATTAACTTGTACCACTGCAGTCTGTGAAGTACAAACCTGAAGTACATCACAGTGATAAACCCTCAGCACCTATGTGGGATTTGCCTTCTCATTTCTGATGAAACACATTTTAAGCTGTCAGTCTCCTGACAGTTTTTACCTGTCTCTTTCTTCTACATTTTATTCTGTAATTTTAAAAAATTGGCAGCCTATTTAGCCTTAAAAAAAAACACTCAAAAATCCCAACAAAACATTTTAACCATTGTCCTGCATTTCTGCTCTCTGAATCAACAACTAATCATGCAATTCCCCAAGGAAATCAGAATCAGCAAGAGCTTGTGTATCAGCCTTAACACAGTGCTCATTTTACTTTACAGACATATAAAACCATAAGGCATTCACATCCAAAAAGCAAAAGCAAACTAACAGACCCCAGTCAAGCAAAAACCCATGAGCAGATGGGAGTATGTGATGCACTTGGTTTCCTTCTGCCTCTTTCAGACCCACATTTTGAAATTTTGGTTTGGTGAAATACTAAGCTTTGTTTTCCCCCTGCAGAAGCCTTTAGCACATCTGCCAGAAATCACTCTTGGAAAACAGACACTGCAAACAAACTGCTTCCCACAGAACTTCAGCTGAATTACAGGGAAAATAGATTTACTACTTGTACTCATACTGTCTTTCTCTGACAATAATATTCAGCTTCTTCTGTAGATTGCAAGAAAGTCCCAAGTCTGCAGGCAAATTCTGAATGTTTGACAAGCACAATTTGAGAAATCCTTGTGGGGAAGCAGTGATTAGACAAGGCAACTGGCAGCTGGGAAGCCCACGCTGTATCTATCCCCTGTTTCACTGCTGATTTCTCTGGATGACCTTGTCAAGTCATTTAATGCCTTTCTGCCTGTGTTCCCCTCTCTGCAAAATGTTTAGACAAACACCCCCCTTTTGGAAACACTGTAAAATTGTTTATTTTGGAATGTTCCTTGGATGTTAAAGTGGCTCTGGGGTGCGACACTGGACGAAAAACAAAACATCCACAAGACGTAAATGTCAATCTGCTGTTTTCTAATAGATTAAAATTCACAGTTTAATAGATTAACCTTGTGCTTGAAGGTTTTATTTTAGAGGGGACAGTAGTTACTCATTCTATTTTAACCTTATCTATCAGCCAAGCCAGCATCATCAGTGCAAACGATAAAAATAAGAAAAAGCAGAAAAAATTGGCATAAACTTTGTTCTGTCCTTAACTTAAGAAGCATGATTATTTAGACAAGTTTCACGTTGGGCAGCTACGTGCTGCTGGCAGTGGGCAGTGCTGGGAACTGGGATTAAAGTTCCTGGGATGTCACCCTTAGGCGTGCTCGTGGTTTAAGGGAGGCTGGTGGTGATGGGCATCCAGGAGCCCATTCAGGTCAGTCCCAAATGGCACCCGGCTCCTCCCTGCCCCCTCGGTGACCTTGACCAGCTCATGAGCATTATTGTTAATGCCCAAGATACGTTCTATAAATGGAATACCTAAGTGCAGTCTTATTATGAGTCATTTCACCACTGCTCCTCAGCCAGGGAAAGTATAGCATTCCATAATTGTAGGAGCAAGCTAATAGCAGAGAGGGAGCAAAATGGGGAGAAAAAGCGCAATTTTGATTTATTAATCCACCTGTTGGCCCACGCTGGTTTAAAAACATCCAGCACACACTGAAAAGAGCTTTTTTGAGACCCCACTTCAGGTACCACAAAAGCCCTGTTGTAACTCTGTGAAGCGAGCAGCACAACAAGAAACGGAAAGGCAACTGAGAATGTAGGACAGCGTTTTTAGAGGGACCTGTCGTGTTTCACCTGCGGAAGGATGTGTGCTGATATTATGAGAAACACAGCGTCGTGGCCGGCTTCCACGGGCATTTCTCTGAGGGCACTGACAGCCCACGAGACCTTCACCTTCACCTCCTCCTCCTCCTCGCTGCGCAGTCCGGTCCGCGCTCCCTCACACCCCACAAAATGGCGGCCGCGCGCGCCGCGGGGTTCGCGCTCCGCTCTCCCCTCGGCGCCGCCGGGCAGACCCGCCACATCGGCACGGCCGCAGGCTGTGGGAGAAGGGGGAGGCTGTAGCCCGCGCTCCCGTCTCGGAGGTAGGAAGGGAAGTGAGAACAGAACGAGGAACAAGCAGCTGCGCGGGCCCCGCTGGGCGATGCGGAGCGACCGACTCGCGCTGCTGGCCCACTCGCCAACAGACAGATTAGTCGGCGCGCGCTGCCGCTTCGTCGTGATTGGCGAACAACCTCCCGCCACGCGGCTCTCTCCTCCTCCTATTGCTCGCTGTTCCCGCGCAGCCTCCCCGTCGGCCATCCGGCCCCTCAGGGCTCCCGGCCCCCTCATCCTGCAGGCTTGCCGCTCTAGGGCCGGCGGTCCTCAGCCCCTCACTGGCGGGATGGCGGCGGCGCGGCGGCGTTGAGCGGTCTTCGTAGCGCTTGGGCCCGGGCAAGTGCCGCGAACCTCCCTCCTCGGCCAAGCGGCCACAGACCGTGGCTTTGAGCCTATGGCCTTCGTCTCCTCCCGCGAGGGAGGGTGACGATGTAGGGGCAAACACCTCATGGAAGGTGCGGGGGGGGGCGGCGGGGCAGTGTGGGGTAACTGGCTCCGCTGTGACGCAAACAGGAATATATGAGGCCTTTCAGGGGTGTTTTTCGAAGTCCAGAGCTAATGCAGGAATCTGGAGAAGTTTTGCTTCATGAATTATTAATATCAGCAGGTCAGAGGTAGAATGGCTAGTAGCCCATTTTTTTATTTTTATTTTTTTATGCAGCAGTGACCTGTGGTATTAAAATCTAGAGATCAAGTTGGAAGATTCCAGAGAGTTATTTAAAGTAGTTAAATCTGTGTATCGAGGTATAATTAGTAAAAAAGTCATTAAACGTGCCTCCTGTCTCGGGAGCGTAGGGCAAGTTGCACTGACCTTTGAAACCTTTTGTTTTTCACGAGAAACGGCAATTACAGATTCTGTGCTTACAGGGATGGGTTTTTCTTTGTCTTTTTAAAGGTGTTTGAATCAAATGAAGAGTCAGGCTCTCTTGTCCTCACCATTGTGGTGTCTGGCCATTTCTTTATTTCCCAAGGGCGAACAGTTCTGGTGAGTTTCTCATGCACAAAGAACGTTTCTCCCTTCACGTCACCATCAGTATTAACTTCATTTCCCTTCTCAGCTTCACCTTCTGTCCCACTGAACGGAAACTGCCGATTTTGTTTTGCTTGTGGTAACTCTCATGTTTGCTTTCTCTTCAGATTTATCAGAATAATGCTAAATGCATTATTTCATACTGAGGTACAGCATTTTTTCTGTGGTTCTAAAAGTCTAGGTTAAGAGGTAATGGGTAAGTGCTGCTGATGTTGACAGGTAATTTATGGTTGTCTTTCGCGATTCTTCTGCCTAAGAAAACAGGGAAAATACATTGTTAAGTAATAAATAAAACTATAATTTCCGGGTAATTTATTGCCATTGACCTGTTAGTATTTTGGTTTGACAATTTGGTTTAGCAGAGGGTTTTTTCTGTGTTGCATAATGTGATCCAACATACAAGATACATCTTTGGAGACAAAATAACAACTACAAGGTTGTGGCAGCTGATTTTCCTGTATCCTGTACTTACTTAAGCATAACCAGCTACTAAAGACTTCACAATGACACCAAAGAGGTTAAAAGGAAAACTCTGTCTAAAAGGAGTGGGTTTTATGCTCATGACCAGAGAAAGCCTTGCTGGAAGGTGGAATTAAGTGTGTTCAGTGCATATCACCAGTACTCAGTGATGATAACAAGTAGGAACTGACTGATAAATATATTAGAAAGCTATTACAAACCACTGAAAGATGCTGCAGCATGAAGATAACAAGGCTTTTTAATACAAAGTGTGTAAGAGACTGTGTTGCAGCTTTAAATGTGTATAAGCTTATAAATTAGGTTTTACTGTGCCTCTTAAAAGGTCTTAAACTTAGAGAAATTTAAGTCTAAGGGGAGAACCAGGGATATCCTTGAATATTTTGGCCTGTGAGTGTGTTAGGTCTGTTGAATAGATAATGGATGAGCTAACAGAAAGCTGTCAGGTTGGAGAGCCCTCATACAAGACATGGCATTTGGCTCATATTTCGTGAGGACAAGGTAAAAATGGAACATGGAAAGTATTTTAGCATTTGTGTTGAGTAAGAAAAAGGGATGGAGTATTGAAAATGTAGATAGAAAGGAGAATTGCTGCCATCTCTTAGCAAATTCTGCTTGGAATGGTTCAGTGCAGGATGCTCCTCTCCAGGGGCTGGTCCTGTTCCCAGTGTCCCAATCACATGGCAGTCACTGTTAGTAACTGGGGTCTTCCATGACTCTGAATGTCCTTGAAATAACCACATAAAATCTAACTACAAGTAAGTTTCAATAACTAATTAAAGACCAAACAGACACAACCAAAAGCTGCAGCCCTTCAAAGACTGTGTTTTGGCAAGGACTGAATCTGGCAAGTAACGGGGGCAGATAAAAGTGTGTTGTTGGAAGGGATGAAGCATCAGAAAAGCTTTATAGAGACTTGGCTGAGAAAAGCACTTTCTTGCAGCTCTTGGGTTTAGTGGCTAGTGAAGCTGTCAGGCAGCTGCCTTGCATGAAATGCCAGAGGAGGAACTTCTGGGATCTGTCAGGACTGTTTCAGCTTCTAAGAGACACTGAGATACTGCAGTGGCTATCACATAGTGCAGAAGAGAGGTGGAACAGACAGGCTTGGTAAATGTGACCAAAATGTGATACTGAGAGTTTACAAAAAAAAAAAAGGTGGTGGTGGTTGTTTTTTTTAACATTTATTTTGGCAATGCTTCTATGTCAACCTTGAGGCAAACACCAGCATTTTCTTAAGTGTTAGAGCAAAGTTATAGGAATTTGGTTTTACAACCTGTCAGTTCCTTTGGGTGCACTTGTATTTAGGATCATAGTGGAGGTGTGTTCTGTGCATACAGGACTGAACTGGCACTGGTGCAGACATGCCTGTGTGTATTTCTCAGAGGTTGGAGGAGTTGCAGTCCTCCCACTTTCCCTCTTAAACACACTCGAGTGGCTGAAAAACCCACCAAAAAAATCCCAGACTGGTTTGGGCTGGAAGGGACCTTAAAGCTCATCTCATCCCACCCCCTGCCATGGGCAGGGACACCTTCCACTAGCCCAGGTTGTTCCAGGCTGTGTCCAGACTGGCCTCAAACACTTCCAGGGATGGGGCATTTTGCAAAGTCCTTATTGAGATGCCGTATGACAAAAACCCAGCTTGCAGCTCAGGCTGTTACTGCTGTGGAAATGATCAGCAATGGTTAATGGCACTGGTTGTGTCTCCCTCTAGTCTCCAGCTGTCAGGAGCTGTCACAGACCTGTCACAATATTTAAACAGGCTTTGTACATCCCGTGTTCTGGAGTCTGTCACAGACCAGATCCGCTCACTGGGGGTCCATTATCGTGGACATTCTGTCACAGGGGATAACGCACAAATTTCTGCACCAGAGGGAATGTATCAAGTTTGATGGAATGTTGCAACTCTTGGGATGATTTAACTTGTATTCCTGTTTTCTCTTGCTGGCCTGGGCTACTGACTATTGACTGCCCTTTGGATTGCCAAGGTGTTCTCCAACACCTTCGTGCTGCCTTACTCACTGGCATTGAAATTCCCTCTGATGTACTTACACAGCTGTTTCTTGCTATGTAGTAACTGCATCCTTCAAGTTGTTGATGTCTGGTCTTTTGATCTGTCTTCTAATCCCTACTTTTCAGACCTTTTGATGTACTACAGGCTCCTGGGTTTGAGGGAACTGGAGAACAATTAGCTTAGCTTTGTACCTCTGCACAGGAACATGGGGAGGCACAAGATGTGTGTCAGAGGAACACCATTTCCTTCTCAACATGCATAACTACTGTATTTTTGTAAAATTTTCATGGGTGAATAATAAAAGGATTTTTTCTTTTTCACCTACATACAGCATTCACTACAACTCCATTTGCACAAAACTGAAATAGTTGTGTAGAAAAGGAAATTTCTATTTCACTGATGGCTGGATTAACATGATCTATGCTAGGAACAAATTTCAAGTTTTTCTAACTTGCTATCAAAATATTTTCTCTATGATGGGTGTATTTATGTATTCTCTTAGTCCTTTTTGTTTTCTTTGAGCAGGAGAGTTAAGAAGACCTTTTCATTAAAGAATCATAGTTATTTAGAGTCCAGTGAAACTATGGCTCTTTTATTATCGTTTCTAAGAACAATATTTATATAATAGCAATAAAATACTCACATATCCTAACAACTTTAATAAATACAGAAACAACTGTTTTCCTTTCAAAATACGATCTGCTCCTTGCACTCAGCCAAATGGAATGAAGAGGAGGGTAAATGGAACTCGAGAGCACAGAACATAAAAATCCCTGATGCGTAATGCAAATTAAAGAGTGTTTTGCTTTGTTTTGGGGGTTGTGGTTTTTTTTTAAACAAAGTTCTTCATTTGGAATTAAATTACGTAACGTATTTTAGGACCTGTTTTTGCTGCAGTGTTGCCTAACAGACTGCATATTTGATGGCAGAAAAACCTCATTCTTGCATGCTGTAGACAATGGAATTTTACAGGAATATCTCAACAGCATCTCTGTTAATTTCTGGCCACACTCAGGATGCATCACGTTCTCTTTACCACAACTCTTATTTCCTTTCCCCTCTTTGAATCAACGTATCGTGAAAATTATATTTTGGTTTTTTTTCAGTGCAATTATTCCTGGTGCTAGAATTCATAATATGCTACAAATTAAACAAATTGAAATTGTGAAGAGGACTTACTTAATAGCATAAAATTAATCCAGAGTAATTGATTTGTGACCTGATCTTTTGAAGTGTAGACTAAATGTCCTAAGTGCCCTCCCGGTCCCCTCATGACTTCTAATAAGCTACCAGTGCTTAGGGTACAGTAGATTCTAACTCATTAATTAGGCAAGCATTCAACAGACATTCTCATGTTCCTGATGCTCTTTGCAGTGCCTGAAACTCAGGCACCAAATTTTTGAGCTGATATTCACAACAGTGCCTTGGGCAGAGCTGGTCCCTGTGCAGCAAATGAGGACACTTGACAGAAACCCAGGGAGTGAGCAGGTTGCAGATGCTGCTTGGTGGTAGGACACTGCAGAGCTACAGGAGGCTGTTCTTTTATTAAAGGTCTCATGATTGCTACTTGGAAGAGTAGCAGGAATCTTAGCTTTGTTGACTTATTTAGTACCACAGTTGTAGTTCAGAATTTCAGTTTTACTTTGTTCATTTCAACATGTGCTGTTGACGGGATTGTTTTGGACAAGCTGAGTATCCTGAGTTAGCTTCCTGTTTATGTTTGATGTAAAAGGCTTATGATCTTTTCTCTTGCCCCAGTTCCTCTAAACCCAGCTATTAGAATAGCTTTTTAAGTGTATTTACTCTGTAGAGTTAGTTTAATGTATGCTCTTGATCTAGGGACATGAATTCTGCATCATGAATTAAAGAAAAAATTCACAGGATGCCCTGAAGAGCTTTAGCCAGGTAAACCCATGGGCATCCTGCTCCCCTCTCTGTGTCCCTGGACAAGTGTCACTGTTCTCAAGTGTAGCTTAGAGGAAAAAAACCAACAAATCAGGTTCTCACTATTGACATATCAAGGTCTGTCCTGAGTTAGGGGCTTGTCTTTGCTACTCACTCCTTCAGGGGATGTAGTTTGTACCCATCTGGGGGAACTCTTGCTAGCAATGAAGCCCGTGCTCCTGCACTTTGGCCAAAGACTTGTGGTTCCTGAGTCCCCTCAGGGGTGGCTGGTGTGTCCTGCATTTCCCATTTCCTGTACACATGGAGCACTCTGTTTAATGAGTTCAACCCTCCTGTTCTTTTCCACAATCAAACGAGCTTAACAGCAAGATTTAAGATTCTAAGAGATTAAAGGTAAAAAAATTGCACACAAAAAGATAATGCAGAGCTTAGCATCCCCTTTATTCCTTTCTCCTGGCTGGCTGCCTTGGTTGTTGGGCTTGGAAATTTTTGCAGGGACAACTTTCTGCTTCCCTCACTTTGCAGGTTCTCTTATTTGGGGATATTTATTTTTTTTGGTTGTGTTAGCTCTTCTGCTCTTGACTTGCTTTTTGAGACAGCTCATACTGCAGAAATAAAACCTAATGTATTTGGCCTTATTTAGATCTTGGGAAAAGATACAAGTGAGGAAAATTTGTACTTTTCCAGGTGTGTTACAAGGTAATACTGAAGGTGAGAATGAAATTATGTTCCAAGTTTAATTTTCACAAGTTTTATCTTTCAGCTGGAATTACTATTTCATTCTGCAGTCACTAATGAAGAATTTTCATTTTTTAAAATAGAAAACTTGTTATTATAGAAGAAAGTGTAAAACAGCAACTCTTTTTTTGGGAAGGCAATGAATTAAAAATTGCTATTTTTCAGATACATGCAGGTATTTGATTTAGAATCTCTGTGTCAAATTTCAAATAGGCACAGTTTCATTTCTTATAATAACCTGTTAATAAATGAATCCCTATTAAAGTGATCACCATAAAAGCACTCACCTGTAAACATGTTCTCCAGTTTTGCTTGTTTTCTGAAAGAATCTCAGTTTTGGTTATTTTTTAGTGTTCTGTATAATGCATGAACATAATTTACAAGCTTTTCCAGACTGCCTGCTCCCACATCTTTGTTTTTACTGTCTTTTGAGATAATGGTTATTAACAGTCTTCACAACTACAGTATTTTTGTTCTGTTATGTTTAGAACCACACAGTGGAGATACCTGAAATAATACTACCATTCCTTTGTTGCCAAATTAGGCACTGTTATTCAGTGTGAATGTTAAATTACAATACCTTGAATATTAGAGCTCAAAAACGTTGGTATTTGAGCTTAAGAAATGACCCCTGAACCCTCAGCAGTGAATGCTCCTTCTGCAGGGATTTCTGGCAGTGCCTGAGCCCTGGGTGTGGGGAGCACAGTTCTGGCAGTGCCTCCCCCCTGGGGAGGATGCCAGGGGTTTAACCCAGCCCTGCCTGTTCTGAGCAGGTTGCAGGAGGTTGCAGGTGGGGTGCTCAGACCAGCAGAGCTTCGAACCCTTCCCCACAAAAGTGCTTTACTAAATCTCTGCTTTCTCCCTGCCAGGGCACTGTCAGCAGTTCTGTGCTAGTTTTGCTGCCCACTTGTGTCCTGGTAGATTACCTTGGGAAAGGAACAGATTAAGGGACTGTCATAGGTGCCTCCCTGGAAACTTTGGAAGCAGATTGCTCTGTTTTCCAGGGAATTGTGTCCTGTGGTGCTGCCCAGCCTGTGTCAGAATGGTGCTGAGGCCTTTGGCTTTTCTGCCGTCTTGCCTCAGTTACCAGCTGGCACCACTCTGGCAGCTGTGCCCTGGGACAGTAATGAACACAATAAACTCCTCTGATCTCATGCTGAACTCATCATTTCTTGGAAATGCACATTCCCAGTCTGGGGGATACCCATCGAGTCCTTAATCCATAACATACACCTCCTACATTCACTCTGACTATGAACCCAGAGAACAGACTGGTGTATTTGCATTTCATGAGCCCATTAGAAGTGGCAGCCCAAACTGGAGAATGTGTCTCGCTGTGGCAGTCTGGGTTTTGTTTGTCTTCTTTAATATTGGTTGTAATTTAAGGGCAGATTAGATCATGTTTGTGATCAAAAAAAAAAAAAGGTTTTTCCTCCTAAGCTGTTGTTTACCCATAGTTTTGTTTGAAAACATCTGCCTTGTGAATGAGTGAAGCCAAACTAATTGATGCAAGCCTGCCTAGCTGAACTGGTACGTGAATAACATTTCTTAAATATATATTAATTTTTAGTTCAGATAGAGTTGCAATCTAACTAAAAATGTTCCTGTGTTCCTTAGCACCACGGGGTTTCCAGATGATCTAATAGAAAATACACATAAATAACATGTAGTACCTTCCAAAACAGATCACAGATCATTGCCCAGTGCTGAAGTGTGAAGTCAGAACAAAAGTATTTCCCAGTCAATGCTGGACCCGATGGCTGTAAGGCAGGATCAGCATCACTGGCTTCTCTGCCTCTTGGAAGGTGTGGTCACATCTTGCCTGCTTCCAAAACATTTGGGAAACATCTTGTTTTCTGCTTCAGCTTAATTCCACTCAGAGTCCTCCCTCTGAGCAGCTCAGATTTTTGTCAGAGATGTTTGGAACAGTTTCCCTTTACCACCATTTTTTCACAAGTCCAGTCGTGGAGAATGACAGGAGAGGTTTGTGCCTGACTGAATATTAAAGATCAAACTTAGAAAAGTGCTGCCGTTTTTCTCTTCACGTTATAAACATCTGAGCTCTTATGTCCCTGCCCAGTTCTAGGCTGCCTTTTTAATCTACTCTGATTAATCTTACACTGCCATCTGGCTTTGCTGCTGCCCAGCTCTGAAGCAGCAGTGGGTGCTGCAGGGAGCAGAGCCGCTGTTCCTGCTCTGCCAGCCTGGGGGCAGCACAATCCGCAGGGATTGCCGCTGTCCCTGTGTCACTGCCGTGTCCCGAGCACACAGCGACTCAGGGCAGCACCTCCGGGCAGGCACACACGGACAGTGAACTCAGTGCATTGCCTCGCAGTTCCCAGGCTCTGCCCCATGCCCAGCTCCCGGCTGGTGGCACAGACCCTCCCAGCTTCCAGTGGTGGAACCAGGGACACTTTGTTTGTTGTGCTCTCTGTTCTTGTTGCTCTGAACTCATTTACCTGAATTCATATGCACTGGCACGGGCTGCCCAGAGAAGCTGTGGCTGCCCCATCCCTGGAAGTGTCCAAGGCCAAGTTGGACAGGGCTTGGAGCAACCTGGGCTAGTGGAAAGTGTCCCTGGCCATGGCAGGGGGTGGAACTGGATGAGCTTTAAGGTCCCTTCCAGCCCAAACTATTCTATGATTCATAACCATTTCGTTGTTGACAAAGAGAATTGTCATTGTTAAGAATCTTTTTGCTGTAATTCAGGCAGCCTCAGATATAATCTGTGCTGACTGAGGTAACATGGAAATGCCATGAGGAATAGAATAAACCTTAACATGGTGCAAAATTTGCCTTATTTGCTGCTTAGAACTGAAGAAAATTTGGAGGATCCTGACTAATGACAATTATTGACGTAAACAATTTAACAGTGGAGTTCAGTCTGCAGAGCTGAGTTTGTCTGAAACCTTCCCTCTGCTTTTTCAGGCAGCTTGCACATGCAAGATCAGGTCTGTTGCGTTGCTCAAGGGCTGCACTGAGTTTTTAAATTTTATTTAGCTATTCTTAGTTATTTATTTCTGCTTGGCAATTTACAAACAACCCAAGGTGCAAGAGAAAAGAAAATACTTTCTGCTTTGTTCTTCAGTTAATGAAACTTAAATTTTAGTTAAATCAGATTTTGGGGTTGGAGTTGAATAATCAGGAGTATGTAAATAAAAATTCCAAATGCTGTTTTTTCCCAGCTTGTTTTACCTCAGAAACAGGACACATAAAAGGAGAACCTGGGAAACGTCAATAAAACAGCTGGTAGGAAAGTTAAACAGTGGCTGCCTTTTATGATTTCTTTAAAAACAGTTATTATTTAAAGGAGACAACATTTGTCCAACCTTCATGTCTAGTAAAAGGAAAAACACTATAAAACCAGACTGAATAGGGGAACAGCTATATTTAAATAAACACAGTTGGTGAGTCTCCCAAACAGAAACTGCTTGGACAGAGCGAGCACAAGTGGCCGTAAGTTAGACTGGCCTAGGGAAGGAACGGGACAGTAGAATTTGGGGGCCTGGTTCCACTTCTTCCCATGGCTCACAGAGGGAATTCTTCCTTTTGCTTTGACCTTGAGGCCTTTCACACCTTGGCAATTCCCACCTTAAGGCACTGGAGTGTTCAGTACAGACAGACACACTGCAAGAGACTGGCCCATCTCACCTGCTGTCAGCACCTGCTTCTGCTGTGCTCAGGGCAATACTTTCCTCCCTCTGACCCCACATCTTTTGGGAATGATACTTACCTGCTGTCAGACATTCTGGAGTCTCTCATGGCAGGTGAGGGGGTCCAGTTTGCCTTTGGTTCAGCACTTCACTGCTTTTTAGACTGTAAAAGTGCAGTTAAAAACCTACATGCAGTTGCTGCATGAGGTTATAAAGCCAGTGCCAGCAGAGTAAAGGAGCAGAATCACTGAGGTGATTCCTGTACCAAAATAGAATGGCAGGTGGTTTTCCAGCCTGAGATGGACAGTGGCTGTGGCACACTGCTGGTGGTCCAGGATGGACAGGACCTGTGGGTTTTGCCCCTTAGGGCCCCTCGGAAAGCAGCCTGTACCCAAGCCATGGTCATTGAAAGCACTATGAATTCATATAAAACAGGTGCCTGATTTCCTCCCTGCCCTTAGGTTTGTTAATTGTTTATTTTTGACCCTGGACTTTGCTAACTAAGGGCTCAGAGTGCCTGGGGAGACACAGTCCACAGCCTTGCAGTTGTTCTGTGACTTTTCCACCTTCCTGGGGTGTTCTCACAGGTTGCTGAGCAGTCCATCTAGTTTGAAGAGACTGACTGTAATGCAACTGGAGTATAAAAACATCTTTATCTAATTATCACAGCTGTTGCTTGTTTCCCTGAGTGCCATCTGGAGCAAAGGCCTCCCTGGATAGAGCAGGTGCTGTCCCATTCCCCGGCTTCTCCTGCCCTCTGCTGCCCTGCCAGGCAACTTCAGCTCTGACTGCAGCTGCTTTATCCTGCACTTCATCGAGGCTTTGATAACATGCCCAAATATAAAACAGAAATGGAAATTAGAACATACCTTGACATGGTGGTGTTACTGGAGCTGCGGATTTAATCCCTGGAGTGGTGAAAATTCCACATTGGCAGTTGTTTGACAGATACAGAAATCGCACGAACACAGTGACTAATCTTCATTAGGGATTTAATTACATCACGTAGCTGAAGCGTGTACTGCCAAGCGTTGCATATTTGCTGTGCAAGTGTTTTGTGTCCTGCTTTATTTCAGGAGGGCTTTTCATTGATTGATTCCCACAAGTGGCTCAAGATAGTGAGGAGAGCAGACTGCCTGCTGCTCCGGGCACAGGCAAAGGTGAGTTGAGCTGCTTTGAACACGTCTAATAGCCCCTGAAACACTTCTGATTTTCTGGAGGAAATTTCTTAAAATTGGCTAAATTTAACCAGAAGTTGTAAATCATGTATATAAATCAAAATATTTTTTTTTTACTCTAGATGCTAAACAATGGATCAAGTAATCTTGTGTCTTTTGTAAGTGCTAGTGTTCAGGGTTTTTAGCCTGTTCTCTGAGAGTTAGCTGCTAAAACAGCTGGACTGTTACTTATTACACAATCCATCTGCCATGGCTAACAACCAAAAAGATGAAGTGAATTTCTTCCATGAGTCAGGCTTCACTTTGGCAAACAAACTATCCAAACAAGCAGTTATTTAGCCATTTTGCAGCCCCTGGCACAGTAGCAGTAGGTTGGTGGTTCAGGTATTTGGTACTCAAGGCAACAAAAGGGATGTGGAGGTTTCTGGTCTTCTCCTCAGATCTCACAGTAAGTGATTGGTTCACCTTTAAATAATCAAACAGCACTTGTTACCAATTTATGGAAAAATCTTATTTTTTTTGGTTCTTAGGTGAACTCTGATACTTACTCCTGAAGTATCTTACTGTTTTAAATTCATGGCTTGTGCCTGAAACACCTTTGTGCTGTGATTTTTGTCAGCTTGTTATAAAACATGGCCTGTCACTGCAGACAAGTCTCACCCTGGGGCAGGAATTGGTGCTGATGAACCAGAAGGGTGTTCCCTTTCCCACTGACAGACCCAGTCCCCCAGCACAGGGATCCTGCTGCATCTCTCCAGGAACACAAAACATCACAGTCACTCCACATCACAAACCTCTGAGGGGCACTTCAGGCAAGGGGGACTGTTAACATAGGCTGAAATAAATTTGGTGCACCTAAATGTTTACTTACCACAAATTCCCATGGCAGACTGGATTTAGTGGCACTGCAGTGGTTCTACCATGCACTTCATGTCCCAAGTTGTAGCTGAAGCTATGCCTTTAATGCTGTCAGTGTATGAAGCTTCTGTGCTCATCTTTCTGATAAATTTTGGATTTATCTTGTACTCCTTGTTTTTACTAAGTCGTTAATACTGCTTTTATAGTGGAATTTACTCATTACTTAGGAAATATGATTTCAGTAGGGCACTGTGGACTCTTAGCAGAATGAGGCTGGAGCCTCTCATATAAAGAGGAGGAGCAAGGTGAAAGTTCTTAATATTCTTGCAATAAGTAATTTCACTGCAAATTGTTTTCATTGAGCTCAGCCCCCCACCCCAGCATGGAAGAAGTGCAGACTGGGTGATTCACGTGACCTCAGGGTTCTTTAAGACATCAGCTTTAGGTTCAGGTGTGACTGCCCAGTACTCAGGTTATGCTAAACTGTGACATCATCTCAGCTCTCTTCCCAGGAAGGAAGAATGTTTAATTTTCAGAGTCAAAAAAGGGTAACTAAAACAAGTGGTCTTCAAAAGTCTCTAAAAGGAATTCAAGTTAAATTCCCTTTCTGTCATTTTTAATGAGAACTCACCTGTCTGGCATCCCACAGATCAGGTCTTGGCTATGTGCAGCTCTGCAGTCACATCTGAGTTAATCAGAGCAAATACAACCAGGCACTGGTAAAACAAGGGCTACACTTCACATTAGTGGGACATTTTTCCCTTGAAAAGGCACCGAGACAAGGTTTTATGCTTACACCGCCCTAAAAATCATTTTATGTGATACAGACATCTTAAAATAACAGGCATGTAAACAGGGAGGCTGTCAGGAAGAGCTGGCTCGTGGCTGAGACAGAAATCCTTACACTGAGAGCTGTCCCCACACTCAGTACCCTCAGCCTGGCAGCGTGTCCAGGTGCCAAAACATGGACTGGATGTTGAAACCTCAGAAGGATGAACACTCAAGTAAGCCAGGCTGGCCCAAGGAAAACTTGCTGCTTTTCTAGGAGTTTAACTTTTAAATGGGAAATTTCAAGATCAAATGGGAAGTCCCATTAATTCACTCCCTAAACATTCAATATCCATCTGCCTTACATCAGCTCAGGGCCAAGCTTATCACACACAACAGACTCTGCCATCCCCATTTCAGGGCAGTTTGCTGGACCTCAGACACTTAAAAATATTATAGTACAGCCTGACAACCTATACTGAGGGGTCAGAGCTGTCTGGGTTTCTTTCATTCACTGTTTAAAGCAATGCACTGGAATTTCTTGCACTCCCATTCAACGTGTTGGCTTCTGTTCAAGGAACATTCAGGTGAAAGCCAAACAATACTCAGGTTTAGCTACACAGAGGTAGACCAGGTGGGTAGGAAGGGCTGGGTTTGATGCATCAGGAACAAATCCTAACTGGAACATACCATTCCCAGAATTTCTAGTTCAAATTTCAGAGTTAACTTCTTACTGTAGTGTCATGTCATTTTTTTGTCACAGAAAACTGTTGAGTTGGCCTGTCCTTACAGGATACTACTTGCAGCAACAATAAAACTCATTTCCTGCTCTGTGTGTAAAAACTGTTGTCATGGCAAGGTTTGTTCATGTGGCTGCACCTTTAATTAGTGACAGGTGGCCCTGCATCTCTTACTTATCCTTTTCTTGCATATTTTTACCTGACTTTCAAATTGGGAATCACAGTCTTCTGGTTCAGCTGCTGGGGAAAAAAATGAAAATACAGCAGGGAAAACTTGTTTGTTTTTTAAGTTGGTGCAGTGACCCAAGAATCTACCACCTTCTTCCCATCTTTAACAAGCAGGGATTTCATTAAATCAGAGTAGTTTGAGGGCTTTCACAGTTAACTTCCTTCCCCTCTGGTTTCCCAGCAGAACGAGTGCCGCATGTTCCGCGTGCAGTTTGGGGGGAATTCCAAGGAGGATATGCTGGGCCACTGCTGCAGTTGTGTCCACAAACTGTCTGAGTACGTCCCCGTGCAGGGGGCTGAGGAGCAGAGCCAGCAGCTGGACCACAGCCAGGACAACCAGGGCATGGACACCGAGCACGGGGTAAGTCAGAACACACAGAAGGATAACCAGCTGTTAGTGCTGCAGCTGGAAAGGACGAGTTTCTTGCAACTGTGAGACCATCTACATGAGAGATGAGTTGGCACCCACCTGGCAGATTTGCAAATTAATTGTACAGGGTAAAAAAATGAGCAGAGCCATTAAGGAACCCTGTATTGTGTCTCCTTTTTGTGTTCACCTACTCCTGGATTGCAGTGGTAGTGATTGCTGCAACTGCAGATGTACAGTGTGAGCTGTAGGAACAGTTTGAGCTGTAGGAACAGTTTGAGCTGTAGGAACAGTTTGAGCTCTAGGAACAGAATGTTTCCCCTCTCCAAGACAAAGCTCTGAGGTAAATGAAAAAGGCAGAAAGTTTCTTCTTAAATATCTGCTCTCTTGAGTGTGTAGACCCATGGGAAGGAAGCAGCATGCTCCTGTGATCATTCATGCAGAGATTTTTTAAGTTACTTCTAGGAAGTAGTTTAAAACTTAGCTCAGACATGAAATAATGGGCCTGTAGTTAAATTGTTGTATCTTTCATTTTTAAAAACTTGAGCAGATGTGCATGCAGGTTCCATAAAAAGATGCCTTTTTACTGCATAAGGTAGCTGAGCACATTCCCTTCCCCTCAGCTCTAAAAATGGAACTACTTCCCTCTTGCACATTCCCACACTCTGCTTGGTAACAAGCCCTTATTTGCATTTGATATTTTCTAGCCAGATGAGTCTCTACAAGATTCCTGCACAAGCCTTGGAGAAAGAAGATCTGTAGCACAGCTAGCACAGGTAAAAACATAAAAGTCTTAATATTTAGATCCTTCAGCTGAATCTGTCAGGCACAGAGAGAGAATGAACTCAGATTCCATAAACATCTGGTAAATGTCTTCCCTGAACATCAGGATGCCATCATCCACAGCAGCAAAACACAGGGTCTGTGTAATGATGCAAACCCAGGTATTTGGTGGTGTAATTACTCCATTTGCATAGGAACAAATGACACACTGAGAGCAAATAAATACCCAGAGGCAACATCCCAGTGAATGGCTTTGGCACTGGTTTGACTGCAGAAATTACTTCTGCAGACAGAGCTGGAATCTGAAAATACCAATCACAGAAACATGATTTGGGTGGGAAGGGACCTTAAAGCCCATCCAGTTCCACCCCCTGCCATGGGCAGGGCACCTTCCACTATCCCAGGTTGTTCCAAGCCCCATCCAACCTGGCCTTGGACACTTCCAGGGATGGGGCAGCCACAGCTCTGGGTCACCTGTGCCAGGGCCTCCCCACTCTCACAGGGAAGAATTTCCTCCCAGTATCCCATCTAACCCTGCCCTCTGGCAGTGGGAAGCCATTCCCCCTCATCTTTTCTCTCCAGGCCCTTGTCCAAAGTCCCTCTCCAGCTCTCTTGGAGCCCCTTTAGGCACTGGAGCCTTCTCATCCCTGACCTGCAGCAGATCCAATATTTAATAAACAGCTCCCAAAGTAAATAACTGGAAACAAACTGTTCTCCTTTACTGGGAATTTGGACTAGTGCAGGAGATGGAATTAGCAGAGAACTCTACTCTTTCCAACTCGTGCTTTTGCAGTCGTTTCTCTGGGTCTTTCCATAGTCATGGGGTGATCACAGAATCCCAGACTGCTTTGGGTTGGAAGGGACCTTACAGTCCATCTCATTCCAGCCCCCTGCCACAGGCAGGGAGTGATCCATGTTCTTTGCATCAGTGCTACAAGGGACAATTCCCAAGCTCCCTATTAGATGGATCTGTCATCCCTTAAACACAGTTGGTTCCATTAGGCTGTGCCTTTCTCCAGGCATTGCCTGTGGATGCTGGAGGCAGCCAGGGCTTCCACAGCCCATGTCCTGCATCTTCCACTCTGCTGCCACTCATTTTATTTACACTGACCAGGGATAAAATGCCCAGAGTTCTCCCACCACCAGAGGAAAAAGCTGAGGGAGGTGGTTAAACAGGGACAAAAAGGATGTTTTAACATTTCAAAAGCCCCACAATTTACTTCTACAAGACATTTTGCTAAATTAAGAGCTCAGAAGTGCACACTTGTTATCCCTACACAATTCACGTGGCAGTGTGGATCCACTGCTCTTACACAGAATGGATATTCACCAGGAAGCCACACTGCCCAGGAAACTGGCATTTCCAGTTTAAATTTCCAATTTAAGTAACCGCAGTAAAATTTGACACTGTGTAAAAACCACACTGGGATCAGAGCTGGGCATCAGAGTAAAACCAGCATACAGCAATCCTACCTGATCAAGGTGTTCCAACAGCACGAACGGGGCAGATCCATCCTTATCCAGTGTCAGAGGAACACTCGGATGTCCGTGTGTTGTCAGGGACCTGCTGTGTCCGAGGGCAGTGACACCACTCTGGTTTTGTTCCTTCCCCAGTCCGTGCTGAGGAGGAGGCCCGAGCTGCCCCAGGCCTACAGGCAGGTGGTGTGGCCTGCACACGAGCTGGGGCCCTTCATCCGCCTCTGCCTCATGGACCAGCACTTCCCAGCCTTCGTGGAAGATGTGGAGAAGGAGTTGCAGAAACTCACAGAAGGTTGAGAAACACTTTGTACCGAGAGATTAAATTGTTGAAAAACAAGACCCCCGGGGTTTTTTGTCAGTGTTTTATTTTTAAAAACAGGTGAATCCACTTTTTATACATCATTGCACTTCAACAAATACACAGAACACGAGTTCATGCAGCTACAGTTACGCACATCATGAGAACCCTGGTAGGTCTATTTCTACAATCTTTAAATCATGAGAAATTACAGTGTCAAACTAAAGAGGAGGAATAACTAGTTGCATAGAATATCACCATGCTGTAACATTTCATCATTTAAACAAAAAAAAAAAAAAAAAGAAAATTATAAAAGTTTGCCTGAATTGAATGTACAAGAATATGTTGAACACATCAGTGCAAAAGGATTTGAGAATTTACATGAGTTAACAAAAAAAAAAAAAAAATCACTTAAAAAGCAATCATATATATATATTTATAAACTGAAGGTTTGTTTTTGTTTCCAACTGCATCCCACCACCACCACCCCCTGGAACCATCCCAGCTCTGCCGCCCAGGACACCCCGTGCTCCGCAGTTAAGCCCTTAAGGTAATTCCAACGTCTCCCTTGTCCCAGTGCCAGCCCGGCATCGCTCTCTCCTCCCAGCCATACAGTAAGGAATGAATATCAGCAGCTTCAAAATGAACCACAATGACTTCTGGTTTCCCCCTCCCTCCCCCCCACCCCCCAATATAAATATATACTGTATATATTTTTAAGTTCTGCTGTACTTTACAAAAGAAGTCTCACTAGATGGCAGCGGTGCGGTTTGAGCGGTGCCAAATTTAACAGCTACAGGAAGTAAAAAATGGCGCATGCGTGAACCCGCCTGGCTACTGCTCATGGTAAAGAGAGTAAAGGGAAAAAAAAAAAAAAAAAAGCAACATTCACAGCACATCAAGCCCAAAATAGTTTACACCTTCTACACGGAAGCATTATTAAAATTGATCTGGCTAGGTCATCCTTGCAGGAGAGGCTAAATAAGGCATGCGTTAGACAGTCATATCGTTGCTCACTTGGAAAGGAAAGAAAAAAAAAAAAAGAAATCAGACAGAACTGGAGTTCTAGAACCAAGAGTTCCAACCCTTAAATTTAGCAGGTCATATTGCCATCAGTCTCTCAGAAACTTAAAGCTCTAAAAAAGAAATGAGAAAGAGGTGCTAGTCAATGGTGGACCCCGCCAGCCGCCAGCCTGCAATCCACGCGCTCGCGGGAGGGGCACGGCCGCCCCCGGGCCGGCGCCACTCCTGACCCCCGGGACGAGGGGGCGGCTTTGCAATTGCAGTGTGTGTTTTTGGAGCAGGTGGGGCGTTCAACCACCCTCGTGCTTTGGGCAATCAATGGTTTGGTGCCCCCCAGAGCTCCCAGGAAGGCCAGCGCCATCCTCCGCGCAGCCGGGAGCGTTTGGATCCATGGAACGCGCTTTGCTTCCGCGCCCCAACCGCTACAGCCAGGGGAGGGCTGAGCCTGCCCTCTCCCAGCAGGGCTCGGGGAATACTTACATGATGAGCATTTTTAATTTGTGTTTCTCTGGCGTAAGTTTTTATCTTTGTGATTGTTTGTAGAATTGGTTTTCCTGGAGAGAGAGAAAAGTTATAAAGAAGTGCACCAAAATCAGTCACCAACACAGGAAAAATGTGCATTATTTGTACTTAACTGTACATAATTATATGCAATTATTTGTACATAATTATTTAAACAGCATTTCACTTTTCCTCTCTTTAAGTGGTTGAATACAATAAAGCTTTCAGACTTGGTATTGTACCACAATATTTGTTTTCTTTCCTCCAGCACTAACACACAACACACCAAAGTGTCCCTCACCGTCCGTAATGGCACACGTGACATCAATCATATGTTCTGTCACCTCCCACAACCCCCCAGATTAGCCCAAAGAGAACTTTTTTCCCTCAAAACACACTTACATTGGCCCAGCTGGTTCATCATCTGCAGCAAGAATCCCGACGCGATCCAGGAGAGACAAGGGAAGGAAAGAAAAAGAGAGTCAGTGTTTGCCCGGTGCCGCGGCCGCGCTGCGAGCAGCAAACCGATCTATCTACAGCATCAAAGGCCATTCCAGTCGGGAGTGCAAGGAGTCATGGAGTTACTGTTCTGGATTCGGGTTTAATGGCAGGTATGTTGCTTCAATGGGTTTAGTTAACACTTGGAATGCTGGTCATGAAGGACTGCAACTGTAGCGGACAGATTGGTGCAACATGGTCAAGACTCATCTTGTCCCCAAGTTCCAGTGGTTCAATCTCATAAAAAATAGATGAGGAGACAAACCAACGGTTCAGTTGTAAAATCCTGCTGGTTGTTTGCTTGCATTGACTTAATTTTTAATATGTATATTTCAATTTGTAAGCCATTTCTCCACTGCTCATGGGTAATTCCTGATATATACCTCAGAAGGGACATAACCCCCCTACTCATTTTCCCCCATAGATGAAACCACCTCTACACTCCCCATTTTTCTCAATGTTTAATTAGAAGGGACCAGGTTAGGAGGAGACTGAAGGGGAACACTCAATTCCAGCCCCAGCCGTGGTCCTTGGGCAGTGGCATCTGATCACCAGGAGGAGTCAGGAGCTGTGACACCTCCAGACACCTCCAGAACATCGTCCTGCCCGTGTCCCTTGGCAAAAGAATGCTCTTAATTGGGGGGGAAACATCTGCCAATGAGGAATGTTTGGCATTAACTCTTTCAGGAGCAATTGGACTATTTTTTGGGATTCTCAAACACTGTACTTTCTCCCAGGTTGCAGTACAGAAGACAGAAATGCATTTAAACAGCAGTACAAAAACCAATCCTGGAAGTTAACCTTCCCATAGGTGGATTTTGGGGGGACCAATTCAGGCCCTGCTGGTTTGGGCACTCAACAGTTGCTGTTCCCACCTTGTGCCGGAGGGATTTTTCACGGGAAGTCTTTGAGAAACTCTCAGCAGGATTCCACAAGGGTGCTTAGTGCACATGAAGCAGTTATGGAAATTACAGTCTTACAGTGTAGGCATCCGCATGAGCACACGCCAGGAGTAATGTCGGGAAAAGGGGACATTACTCCACCTGGACCTTCAAGGCAACGGAGAGGCAAAGCCACCGCTAGCACAGACAGTGACCGGAACAAAAAATACTCCAAAAATAAAGAACTAACCACAAACCAAGAGCTTTACAGCCAAAATAACAGACTAGCGACACACCGGTGTCCACAGAATTCCATTACCAGCAACAGTAACTATCGGACACGGTACAGAGAACTGGGACTAGGAAGGACAGCCAGACATCAATGTGCTGTTGTATATACAGTGAGATATACAGAGACACATCAGGTACTGAAACACAAAGCACAGCAGAGGAAATCTACAGCTTCCTTCCACAAACATCTGTTGGGAATCAAAGGGTCTGAAAGCAGGCCGAGCTCCGCGCTCCGGGCGGGACGAGCCCCGGGCCCCAAACCCAGCGCTGCCCCCGAGACTCCTCTCGGCTCTGACAAACACCATCGACAGCTTTGGGAGTTTGTTTGGCTGGACTTCAGCAATATCGAACTGCACCGTGGAGATCTCGCTAGAAAAATAACCGTTCTCCCTTCTCTGCTCAAATATTTAAATGCCCATTTCGGATCAGGAGGTTTGTGTTTGGGGGGGGGGGGGGAAATAAAAATAAATAAAAGAAGCTTCACATTTGTAAAGGCTGCCATCAGGTGTTTTCCTAACAGAGATCCAACAAAAAAGCCTACTGGAATGCTTAGAGATGGTGGGTCCCCACCACTCGTCCCTGTCCCATCTATACCCTAAACAGAGAGAAAAAGACCGAGGAAGATTCCTCGGTGCGTCGCTATCCTGGTGAGCCAGTAACTGCTGGAAAAGCATCCCCAGTACAGTACAGAGACCGAACCCTCAGCGAAACCAGGGGGCAACAGAACAACAGAAAAACCAGTACAAAATCAGACCAAAGAAAAGATTAAAAACAGCAAACTGAAATCCAAATTAGTTGTGAACGTGAATGAGGAAGTTTTAAGAGTGTTAACGGTCATGACTTGTGCGTTGTATAGACTGAAGCGGAGGTTAAACAAACTCCAAAGCATGCAGAGCTCTCACTTACCACCGTTTTTTAAGGGTATGATGCAATTGAAGGGGGGAAAAAAAAAAAAAAAAGAAGTCATAGTAACCGACAAGATCAATACAACCCAAAGCTTTATGCCAAAGCCCTGCGCTGGTGCAGTGACACCGACGGCCACGGAGAAGGTGTGCCCGGCCGAGCTGGGACCACCACTGAGCACACTACACCCCTCCTGCAGGGATTCCCTCTGCCAGCTGGGGGGGATCCACAGCCTCCAAAAAACCCCACTGTTTAGAGGAATACAGGAATCAAACCCCCCCACAGCCAGGCCTTTCCTGTGGGTACGGGATGACCGGCGCCCCCAAATCACACGTTTCTGAACCAAAAGAGTCGAACTGCTGCTTGTCTCGACACGTGACCAGCCCTTGTGGGCAAAAATATCTGGGCATTAAAATTGGAAGGTGATGACAAGCAGATCTCCCTTAGCTCCTCCACTTGCACTACAGGAATGTGCTTTGTGCCCCCCCCCCTCCCCATTTACTTCCAGCCTTAATTTATAAGGCATTTTAGATGCTGCTCAGTTTCTTCCACCGCCTTTGGGAAGCTACAGGGTTTACTTTTAATAGCAACTTAATCTTGGGTAGCATCTTGTGACTGGAGGAAGTTAAAAATGAAACACTAACGGGTTCTTCCAGCACTAAGATTCCAATTTTTGCATCTGAAGGGATTCTATGTCTCGGCTCGTGCTTTAACACTTGCTAAGAATCAATCACAGAGTAGTTCGGGTTGGAAAGACCTTAGAGGTCATCTCGTTTCACCCCCCTGCTAAGGGCAGGGACACCTTCGACTAGACCAGGGTGCTCCAAGCCCCCACCCTGGCCTTGGATACTTCCAGGGGTGGGGCAGCCACAGCTTCTCTGAGCCCTAAGAAACCTGCTCAGAGAGGAGTGGAGAGCCGCAGCTCCAGGGACAGTTCTTATCCCACCCTCAGCCTTCCTGCACAGACCACCACTGAGCTGGAGCCTTGTTAAACCCAGCTGCTGTTCAGTTTGAGCTCAAATGCTCAGAAGGAACAGACAGAGCCTGTGACAGAGTCTGTGTTACAACACAGCTCCTGTGCTGGTCGATTCCCACTGGGATCAGCTGATGGCTACAGTCTCACTGTGCACCTGCCTGACGACTTTCTCCCCCTGATGTATTTTAGGTGTGGGAGAGAAAGATGTGGATAACAGGGAAAAAAAAAACCCACAAAAATCAACTTGTTACAAGGTAAACCATTGCAGTGCAAACAGTTTGTTTCTTTTAATTACTTACAGTAATAGCAGGAACAGGGAAAGTCAAGAAAAAAACAAAAGAGGGTTAGAAAGAATGTGGGGATATGGATGGAGCTTCTGCAGAGCCAGGAAAAACGTTTATGGGAAGTCTTTGGATTAGGCTGAGAAATGAGAGGGGAAGAATGAAAAGGGACATGTTATAACCCAGTCACCTCATGGCTTTGGACTAAAGATCATGAATATGGCTTTTCAAGTAAAAACTGCTCCCATTCCTACAGGGAATGTAGCCAAGGAGTTTTTACTTTCTACTTACCCCAGAAAACACCCTTTAAACCAGCAGCTTTGCTAATTTTAGGCTATTCAATCCAACAACAGCAGGAAACCCCCCTTTCTTTAGAAACCTTGCTAGACCACGTTCAGGTCACGATGGCTGAGCTCCCTCTGCCTACTGACACCAAGCAGCTCAAGCGGGACCCCGAGGAATGAAGGCCCTCGCTTCCCTTCCTCGCCCCTGTGGGGAGCAGTGCCAGCAGCCCCTGCGGAACCGCTCCCGCCGTGCATCCAGCCACATGCCAGGCTCATGCAGCTCTGTCCCAAAAGCCACGGAAGCCGCATGTTCTCTGCCTGCTCCGGATTCTCCAGCCCCTGGCTGATCGCTGGGAACAGGATGTGAGCTGGATGTTGCTTTACCACACGTAAAGCAAGTCAAAACTCACATTTTGAAAGGATGCGGGATTCAAGCGCAGTCTGCCCTCCCTTCCTCCTTCCAGCTCGGGATTTGGATGTGAGGGGGTTCACAGGTTACCCACCCTGGGAGGTGAGAACCCCCTAATCCACGGGCACCACAGGAGACCCTGTGCCGGGCATCCCCTGATGCCATCTTTGCACTGTTTTGGTGGAAATAGGGATTTCACAGGTGCAAAGTTCCCTTGAGCAGCAGGAATAAGAATCAACTCACAAATCTGAGTTCTGAGAAGGAGGAAATATTAGCAAAGGAGCTCCTGAGCAGCCCTGGCCCCGAGGCACAAAAAGCAATTCACCGGAACACAGAAAGCAAGGTCCATGCAAAACCAACACCTGCAGTCAGGAAATGCCAAAGTTAAAGGACTGGCCCTGCTCTTCCAGGCAGAGGGAGCACATTTTCCATTGGGGAAGTGTCTTGTAACACCAGCCCTTGTTCCCCCAAACTCTGAAACCCTTAAAGCCTCGCTCCACAGTGAATGGAGAACTCCAGCTGTACCCAGGATATCTGTCACCCTCCCCAGCCCCCAGGGATGGGGCAGTTGGGACACTGAGCCAGGTCAGCTGGAGCCTTCAGAACATGGAGATGAGAGGGGTAAGGGAATTAATTCAACTGGTTGTTTGGGCTGGCCAGGCAGGGTCCCCAGGCACTTTTGGAAAGCATCCCAGATACCCGAGAAGTCTCTCCCCCAGAGAGAACATTTCTCTCCAGCCAGTCACATCCCCCAGGCTGGTCTCATCCCAGGGGCCCACAGCACACCCTGAGCACTGTCACTTGTGTAGGCTGAACTGAGCCAGCCCTAAAAACACTGGGACAAGGCATGAGGAGAGCTCAGCGTGGGCACCTGAAGCTCCCATCCGGATCCAAGACAACACAGTTCAGCTGCATCCATCCTGCACTGCCCCAGCCAGGAGCTGAGGGTGCTTCAGCTGTCCCTTGAACAGCTCCTCCAGCTCCAAAAGCCTCTGATTTTCCAGCATACAGGGGAAGTGACCACATTTAGCATTTGGTTTTCTCCCAAATGTTTAAAACAACCCTTTAAAGGTGGCCTGAACGAGCCATCTTTGCACTAATGTGTGCAGAAATTCCAGCTGAGATCTTCTCAGAGGATTCCTGAGTGGAGGTGGGAGGCACCCGGGGAGGGGGGGGAGACACCACAGGTACAACACCTGCACCCCAACACTCCAGTTCTTTACAGGGAGCAGCCACCTGATCTGCAGGAGTCATCCTGCAGCAGGAGGACGTGCCCAGCCCAGCAATAAGGATCCAGTGGGCAGGGCTCCCAAGTGGCCATCCATCCTCAAACCTGCCTGGGGGAGCTGGACTGCTGCTCCCTGCCCTGGCAGAGCTAAGGAAGGGACAGCAGAGACAGCTGGTGACTCAGGGAGGCCCAGAGTTATCCTGCCAATCGAAGATGGGGTGATGAGGGTGGAATATGAAGGAATCTCAGTGTCTAAATCTGGAGTGGACCAAGGAGAAAATTCACACCCCAGCAGAAAGGGCACGAACAGCTCAGTCATTGCTGCAGCAGCTTCACGTGAAGCTCTGCCGTGACCACAACCCTCAAAGCCGAGCACCTCACACCCAAAACTACAGAGCTTTGAACAGCCAGCTGAGAGGGATCCCGGCTGCTGCCCCACTGCTGGGAGGGGATGTGCTGTTGGGCCTCATCCCGTGCCCGAGCTGCTGCCTCAGCCACGGGCTCGCTGCCGATCCCGCTCGGGCTCACTGCGGCACGCAGAGGAGGAGGAGGTGTGACTTGGGAAGCAGGGAGTTGAAATTCCAAAGGCTAAAGCAGGCCACTGCATTCCAACATTAACTTTGGCATTTCGTAACCACGTCTCGAAAATAATGAAATCAAGGATAACCAATTCAAACGTCCCCGTGTGGAAATCAGCAGGCTCCCCACGATTTCCCACGCGTGCATTCGTGAGTGCCCCGCTCACGGGGCGTTTCCCACCACAGCACCATGGAAAGCTTCACTGCAAGAGTATCCAAGGAATGCAGGACTCAAGTCAGCGTTATGCCAATTGTGTCCCTTCATCCAAGCAAACCTAATGCACACAGGTACGGACTGTGACATCCAGCATGGATTTTGTCCTCCGGGAAGGTGGACAGGGAGAATGTCTGTCCCCCCCGGAGGTGTGTCACTCTCCAGGGCTCTGGCTTAGCTGCCCAAGAAAGCCATGTAGTAACCTCAGTTCCTGGGCTCATCATCATCATGGACAGCTCCATGGGAGATGATGGGCCTGGATCCCTTGGGCACCTGAGGAATGACCAGACCAGCCAGGAAAACTCAGCCTTGGCAACAAACAGGCAGTGAACTCTGCACCTCCAGCCTTACCACACCTCCACAGTGGCTGTGCTACGATTTGGTCAAGTCAAAGCCAATTCCTGTGGGATTCAGTTCATTTGGGGCTTCTTGCAGGGAATGCTGACATATCAAATTACTGATACCTTGTTTGGGTCCTTGCGAAACTTCACCAAATGAAATTCTGAACGCAGGGAGCTCTGAAGAGTCACCAACAGGGAGGGGAGGTGCAAGAGAACATGAAAATGGTCCTTTCCAAGTTTTCCGGGCTGGCTGGGGCCGCTCTGAGGCCAGGCTGTGGGCAGCACAGCCCCCTCAGTGCCTGGGAAGCTGTTAGTGATGCACAGGAACATGCACTGCCATGTAACTGGTTGGCTGCACACCCAGAGCAGTCCCCACACATGCTCTGTAAGCAGTTAGTAAGTGCTACTCAGTGGTGACAACCTGAAGCTGGTTTGCTCTAGGTAGGCACTACTTCAGCCAGTTTTGGTGTTCCCCAGGAGTGATCCAAGCCCCAGCTGTTCTCCCACTGTTACCATTTGTTATCTGTTTCACCAGCTTCTCTCCTCGTGCTCTGAGACACGTGAGGCCCTGTGAAGGTGGTTCTGCCCCCACTCCACACACAGATCCCTGTCTCACACCTCTATTCCCATCCTAAAGGCAAACACCCCGCTGTGCTGGGATCAGTCCCTCACGCAGCTCCACGACAGCGTGTCCTGGCTGTGCCATCCACACCCAGCTGCCTTGGGAATCATCTCCCACTCGGAGGGCAGGGCCAGCCCAGGAAGGTGCTGAGGGCTCAGTGCTGCCTGTACTGGTCCCTCCATGGGCTCTGAAGCACCTGCTCCATTGCTTGGACATCTCACGTTCCTACAGCACGATGATGTTCCAGCTGCTTCTCCCAAGGAGTCCTTGGGGAGGTTCTGGTTACACATTGTAGTAAGCAGCTAGTAGCACATTAAAGCCTGTTCTCAGCATGGTTCTTGCAAATACTCAGCCTCAAACTGCCCCTTCTCTGATCTCTGAAGAGGAAGGTGTGCAGAAGAAGCCCAAAGATGAAAGTTACTATTTTTATGTACCAAACACAGTTTAACTAATTATTGCTACCATTAAACCTGATAATAAAAGCCTGATCTTTATAAAATCTAACTCAGTGGCTATGACTACTAGATATGGTTTCCAGAGCATTCCTTAAATACAAATTCAGCTACACAGCAGAGTAAGAGCCCTCCCCCACCCCTCTGAACTCTGAGAACATTTCAGTTTTGAAGTATCTCTGCAGTCCCAATCCCTTGAAATGTAATGGTTCCTTAGTTTTAAGTGTAATGTTTCCTTACAGAACCTGCCCAGTGTCTGACCTGGACGCCACATGGAAGAGGGAGTCGCTACCCATCATGGAATAGTGGCTTCCAGCTCTCCCCCTGTGCTGCCCTACGCTCCTTAGGGCCGACAGGCAGGATTTCCCAGGGCTACCACAGCAGGAAAGCAACGGGAGCACCAGATCCCTTGTGCAAAAAAAGCTTCAGAGATATTAATAACCCCCCCCCTCCCACCCCATGGTCTGAGATCTCTGGAAAATCCACTGTTGTGACCCTCTGGGCTTTACGCCTGGAGAAGGAACAGATGAGAAAGCAAAGCGCTTGGAGCTGGGCAAACTGGGCTGCTGGTCCTTCCTGCCCCCAGGCCCCACTCCGTTGTGCTCCCACGGGTTCTCTTCCCTCGCTGCTCGTGCTCCGTGCTCAGTGGCGGCGCTGGGCAGACTTACCGTCCGGCACCTCGTCCGGCCGCTTCCTCTTCTCGTAGATGACGATGATGACCACGAGGATGACGATCTCTGCCAGGATGCCCAGGAAGGGCCACAGCGGGGCCAGGTGGCTGCGCACGCGCAGGATGGTCGTGACCGACACGGAGCCCACCTGGTTGGTGGCGTTGCACTGGTACTCGCCGGGGTCCTCGTTGATCTGCAGGTTTGTGATGCTGAGCTCGGTGTAGTTCTCCTTGTTGGAAATAAAGAACCTGCCGGAGGAGTTGTTGATGTCCTGGCGAGAGGAGAAGGGTGGAAAAGAGCAAGAGCCTTTGGTTTGTGTGTCATGGAACTGGAAGAGTTTTGAGGGAGAAGCCCACAGCTGGTGTTTATTCTCTCTCTAAAGGAAGCTGCGCTTCAGAACACCACCAAAAAATACCACGAAGGGAACCCTGCACGTCACCACCATCTCTGAGCACTCCCAGCACACGGGCACGTACAGCACCATCCCATAGGAATTTGAGCTCACACTTGGCAGTGAACAATCATCCCATCCTGTTACTTGCTTAACATTTTTTATTCAGCCCTCCCTCCAATTGCTGCCTCTCTGGCAGATCATGCAGCGACAGAAAAGTCAACGGGTTTAGCAACTTCCAGCTCCTCTGCTATTCCCATTGCTGGTCACATTTTCCTGCTCACTGCAGCAGTTGCTACATGGAAAAAATATGCTCACTTGAACACTAATAGAGATCACTGCCACCTCCTCATACTGAGTCTTGTGAGCTCAACCAGTTAAGCTGGAAAACTTGGAGGAATTTATAGCCAAATGCAGATTTAAATCATATTTCATAACTCAGATCTTGCAGTTTGCAGCAGATACCCTGAACACTACTGACCAGCAATGCCATGAGCAGCTCTGTTCACACCCCAATACCATAAATATGCATCTTTTATCCATCCATCCATCCATCCCCACTGCTGCCTTCACTCACTGACGGATCAGCCTTCTGAGGAGCTGCATTTTACAAAGTTATGAGGCTTCAGCAGCACATCCCTAAAGCCAGGGTGCTGGTTTCCCTCCTCCCAGGGATTTTGGCAGGTGGGTGGGTGCCTGGCCCCCCCACTCCTCTTACCTCAAACACTCCATTGACCTTCTTGCGCCAGACCCACTCGGGGTGGGGGAAGCCCACGGACTTGCAGTACATGAGGGCCTCCTGCCCCTCGTTCTTGTTCTCGCTTCGCTTGTGCCCGGTGATGTCGGGAGTGGCTACAAAACAAAGGAGCAGCTTGTAAATGCAAAGAGAGTCATTTCAGTCATACGGACAAAAACCCAAGTTTTCCAGCTCCCTGGAAGCTGTTCCTTTCCCACACCGAGCCTGTCTTTGCTAGGAAAAATTGTGATTTTACTTCTCTGTTTATCAGAGCAGCCCTAAAACCTCACGAGAGATTAGGCTGGATCAGTGCAGCGCCTGAGCTGAACCTTGGCCGGAGCAGATGGTTCTGGGGCCGCAGTGACCACCTTTAAAGCCCTCCAGCCCGCTAATTACGGCACACGTGGCCTGCTGTGTGATGGCAGGACATGATCTGATAATCCAGTCAAAGGCCAGGCTGGGTGCTCCAGGAAAAGACCCCCAGGCACCAGAATTTCTTCCAAGGAGAGTTCCTTTCCCCACTGGCAAGTCCCCCCTGCAGACAGGTACAGGGGGAGCACCTGCAGCTGAAATAATGGAGCAGATTTCACAGTTCTGATCAAAGTGAACAAACCACCTTGTGCAACCCGACATCAGCTGAACCTGCTCGTCCCAAAAATTACAGCTCTTTGGGAAATTGCCTGGCAAGCTGAAGTGCTTAATATTGTCATATTTCAAAGCCCAGGGGTTTGAAATGCAGGAAGCATCCCGTGCCTTGGAATCTTCTTAGCAGTAATGCAGCTGATTAACTGTGCCTCTCACAACATTATCAAAATAAACAAAAAAGGCTGTAAGAACACCTGAGCTACAGAGCTCCTGTGCGTGTGTGTTCACCTGCAAAGACACCATAGGAGACACCCATCGACCCAGGCTTTCTCCAAGTGCCTGTGGGAATTCCAACAGGATTCCCAATCTGCCCCTGAGCTCTGCAGGAGTTCTGACCAAAGACAGGTGCCAGAAAATTAATTACAGGTGATGCCAACCATAACTACGATAGGTAAGAACAAGGCCAAGGACAAAACCAAGGGGTTTTATTTATCCTTAAGAAAAGCGACACCTAAAATGTATCCACATCAAACATAAAAATACTTTGAGAGACATAAAACCTGAACTGAATGAAGACACCAGACCCAAACAATTCTCTGGTCTTGTGCAGAAAGCAGCTGCCAGGCACAGAAACTGAAGGAAGCAGGGAAGGCAAGGCCTTTCCACACCTCCAGATGATCACACACCAGCCGTGCCTGCAAGGGGCAGTGACACCCAGAGGAAATGAAAGGTTTGAGCTGGAGGTCTTCAAGCAGAAAATAAATGAGCTTTGGGGTTGTGTGTGCTGTGTGACTTCAGGACCCCAAGCACTGACGAGCACCTGCAGTGTCCTTTCCTGCCTGCAGCACCAGGGAGGAAAATAACACTTATTCCAAACAATGATGGTTCAGGAAGGGAATTTCATCTCATGGCCTGCTGAAAGGTGCCAAGGAAGTTCTCCTTCAGGCAGGAGCTGGGTGAGCCCAGTGACCTCCCTGTGGTTTTTGCTTCCCTGAGGATGACAAGCAGGGATCTCCTCCAGCCTCAGGAACACAAGAGGCCAGTGGGAGCACAAGAGACATGTGGTGACAAGGCAATGATCCCAGACCTGGGCTGCCAAAAGGGACTGGAAATGACCCCAAGGGGAGAAGCAGCAACAGGATTCCTCACCTTGGAGCTGCAGCCCCACACAGGCTCCATGTGCCAGCACTTGGGTTTCCAGGGCCATCCCTTGGCAGCAGATCCGTGCTGGGAAAAGGGGCCAGGGGAGGCAGCAGGCACAGCTGGCCCACTTTGTGTCAGATGTTGGTTGGGAAAGAGGGGGGGAGAGAAAGAGGGAAGGCTTTCTAGGGCACCTCAACTTGTACTGCAGGGTGACCTAGAGCTCTCCTACAGCCCACAGACAGCGACACTGTAAGGAGAGGCCATCTCCGAAGGGTTATCCCAGCGGAGCACAAGTGCCAAGAATACCTCCTGCTCCTCCCCGGCTCTGCTGGGACAGGCACTATTTCTGTAGGCAGTCAGAGGGGAGCCCCAGTGCAGTACTGATGATTCAGGGCATGGTGCTACCCAGAGAGACATTAATGCAGCATTTCCTCTCCCAAACTGTGTTCTGCTCTCCCACTGTCCCTGCAGCAAACCCCAGTCACAGCTTTAGCACAGAGTCGTGTTTTCCTGGGAAGCTTTTCAAGGCAGGATTATTCCTCAAACCATTCTACTCTGGTGCCAGATAAAGGCCAGAATGAGGCAGGTGTTGTTCAGGAAAGGTTTGGATTTCACTCCAGCTTTCAGGCAGCAGAATCCCCATCTCTGATCAGACGTGGACACAACCTGCTCTGTCAGCTCCTGCACCACTGAAACCCAGACACTGCCCCTGGTGAAACTCCTGCACTGTGACACTGGGAAGATACTGAAGGTTTCCTTGGAACAGCACATGGAAGAGCAAAAAGAGGCAGAGCTAATTTAAATTAACTGCTACCAAAAAGGAGGCAAAATAAACATGCATTCAGGGATTCTTGACACAAGAGGAACTTCTGATATGCAGCATTTTGATAGTTTTAAACCAAATCACAAGAGAAAGGAGGGTTTGTGCCAGAGTAAACACTGGGCTTCCATGCTCCAGGTCCCCAACAGGCACAAAACACACTGTGCAGCTGCTTTCTGAATGGTTTGCTTTCAATACAGCCCTGAAAAGAGGGGGGCTTGCCTTGTTAAAGGGTACTTGATATACAGGAGGCATTCAGCCCTTAATTTCCAGGTATTTTCAAGATATTGTACAGCACTGCCAAAAAGGAGAGTTGAACTAATATGTGTAACACCTCCAAACCATGTCCCAGTTAACAAAACCCCTTCAAGTTTCCCATTAACAGACAAAATTAAAGCAAGGGCAAAAGCACCTAAAAATATTCCTGCAATAAAAACCCTTATGTCTTATGGGTGACCTATAAAAGGGCTCTGGAAGATTTGTTTCCCTGCATTATGATCCTAATCCCTGTCTCCCTTTGTAGTCTGGGCACAGAGCGAAGACACCAAAGGTGCAGCGAGAAGGGAGAACCTGATGTGGATTTTCTTGGATCACTCCAAGGTCCAGCTCTGCCAAGAGTGTCCCATTTCTTGATTAATTTCTGGTACAGAGGTGAGGCTGCAGCAGAGGTTTCCTAAGACAGCCAGGAGTCCAGAGCCAAGATCTTCCCCAAGAGCAAGTGAGAGGAACAGAAAAGTGCAAAGTGAGCAAGGGGAGTCAAAGAGTCCCTTGATGAGAGAATGGCACAAAGGCCTCAGAGGAGGAGGAATGATACAGCTCTGGACATGGAGAAAAGGGAGCCTGGGATGGGAAGGCAGGGCAGAGAGAAGAGATGCCCTCTCAGTTATGGTACATAATCCAGGATCTTACTTGATGCTTGTGCTACCCCTGGGCAGCCTGAGGGAACTGCAGGGATGTCCTTCCCCAGGCTCTGTGACAGACAGACAGAAACTTGTTTGCTCTCACACCTTCTCCCAAGATCTCAGTAAGAGCAGGAACACTGCAGAGGCAGAATTCTTCAGGGTTGCATTTCATTCCTTTTCTTTCTTTTAATCTTCATTCTCCAGAGCTCCAACCTCCCAACAAAAAGCAAAAAAGCAAAACAGGGTCTTCTACAGTGTGGCAATGGAGCAACTACAGACATCCACTTCCAGGTGGGGAGGAGGTGGCAAAGTGCCCTTGGCCAGGGTCTGGCAGGGTCATCCCCACTGCTCCTGCCAGAATAACCTGCTTCCGTGCAGCACTCCCACAGAAAACGTGGGAGAAGATCCCTATTCCAAGGCAGAACTTTCCCAGTATCAGCATTTGCTCAGCCTGTTGTTTCAAGCTCAGAGCTGCACTCCCACAGTGCCCCCAAAGCTCTGAGGATCTGAGCAAGAACACTCAAAGTCTCCACCAGATGCTTCATCCAAAAGCTGGATGAGGGAAGCCAGACTTGGAATTCAAAGAACAGCATCAGAGAGTGCCATTAAACCCCAGTATTTCCAACTGCTGTTACACTCCTGCCCCAGTAATTTTTCTACCAAGAAAAATCACAGAATTCCAGAATGGGATGGAAAGGACCTGAAAGCTCATCCAAGTCCCACCCCCTGCCCATGGACACCTTCCACTAGACCAGGTTGCTCCAAGCCCCATCCAGCACTTCCAGGGACACGTGGAGGCAAACAGGCAGCATTACATGGAAGGCAAATGGCAGTGGATGCTCTGGGCTGCATCTGCCACGAGGCACTTGGTGAAGTTGTTCACAAGCTGTCACAAAGTCACTAATTTTGGCCCACGGGCATTTTCGTATTCAGAACCATCTTCTCCCTGTGCCTCAACAGATGAAACTGCACCACAATTACAATGAGCAATTAAATTTGTCTTCAGCTGCCTAACCACAAACACCACACCTGCAGGTAAGTACTAAACCACAGCATCTGCAGGGGCAAACAAGAGCCGTGTCTCACTGTCCATCACATCTGCCTCGTGCTTTAAATGCGTCCCAATTTGTCACTCCTCAAGTTTCCAAGGAACAGGAGTTAGAAGGAAAGCATCTTTCCAGTTGAAAAGTGTCCATGTGCTCCAGTTCCCAGTTTGCTTGGCATAAAGCTCGAGCAGGTACTTCCCACCCCAGACAAGCCCTGGTTCTTCTCCCTGCCAAGGAGGAATTCAAGGCACATCAGCCACTCTTGCTGTAAAGAAGAGCTGGAAAATAGGGTTACTGAGGCCTGGAATTGTGGCAGCTGAGGACTCTGGAGGGGTAAAACCTCCCAAAAGTGCTGCTGGAGTCACTGCCTTCTAACTGAGGGCCGCTCATGGTACTTTAGGTATGTGAAACGTTAGCAGGATTAGTTCTTGTTGCACTTCAATCACATGACTGGCTCTTCTTTCCACAGTGTTAAACCCCACATCCCTGCAACCCCTCCCCTGCCAAGTTCTGTTGGTGGCAGGCAGGGCCAAACCCTGAGGCAAATATTCCCAAAAGATCTTTGGAGACGTTCTAGAGAGCTGGAAAAGGTCTTACTCTGTTCCCAAAGTTACCTTTCCTGCCTCCAGAAGTGGTGTGTCACCTAAAGCAGCCTAGAGAAGGAAGTAAGAACTTAAGATTTTAATTAAGGTAATATTAGAAGATTTAGCAATTATAGTAGAAGAATAGAATGAGATTTAAAAAAAAAAAAAAGGAAAAGAGCCCCCCTACAACCTTGGGTGTACCTTGAACACCCAGATGAAGCTCACCAGAAGCACAATGTGCTGGAATTCAAACTGCTCTAAGCAAGGCAATAATTATTTTTAGAGATAAATACAGTTTTAATCACTAACAGCCCATTTCTGTGTGTTCACATCCCATACACTTCTTAGCTGGGCCAACAAGAACTTGTTGGGAAAGAACTTTTAAATCATCAAGACAGAAAACCAGTACAAGATCAGTCAGGATGTTTATTTATATGGCACTACTCCCCTTCCCCAGGGGACTGCATGGTCCCAGAGATGCTGCTCTCTGGAGAGAGAACAATGCTGTGAATTTGCTCTCAGATTCAGGACCATGCAGTGAGGAACCAGAAATTCCCAAACAGCTTTTGCTGAAATTATTGGCTATTTACCAATCGCCTCCATATTATGACCCAGACACTGCTCTTTTGTTCAACAACTACAGCAAAACTTGCTGCAAACCTTTCACATTTTGCCATTTCTGTCCTAAATTTTAGGGTCCTAAAGATGCCAGAGGATGCACAAGACAGAAAGGTGTTGCAGTATCCCCTGAGTACACCACAAATGCAATGGTCATATTCCCATCTCTGTGAGACGTTTCCCCATGAACGTGTGCAAGCCTTTCCTTTGGAATTCTAATTATTGTGTATCATAACAAATTATTATTTATAACAAACTGTATTGTGGATCCAGGTTTGACCACAGGCTCTGTGTCACGAGGAAAGGCCTCCTGAGTTCACTCTCTTGTACAGAGCCCAAGTGGCAGAGAAATGGCATTTTCAGGGAGAGGAGACAAACCAAAAGAGACAAAGCCAGGAGTACCTCTCACTTCTATAGTGGCGTTGGCTACAGGAGAGTTGGAAAACACAAACACACACAAGTATTCCCCCGACTCTTCCGCTCTGGCCTTCGCGATCCTGCAGACAGGAGAGAACACGTGTAAGAGCCAACAGAATTTATTGCCCCCACCCCAGACTTTGATCTTTTCACTGCATTTCACACTGTTCACTCAATTAACGCCTGTTAATTGTGCACTGCAGCTCGTTTGGAGCAAGCCTTCCTCCAGTCAGTGGCCTAGGTAGGCAGGCACGACCCCCTCTGGGCCCAGTCCCCATCCCTCCCTCCCTTTACCAAAAGGCTTCTTGGCTTTCTTTTATTTTTATTAATTTTTTAAACCCCTAAGCAAACAGCATGCAGCTGAACAGCAACCCTGCAGTAAAACCATTTAATTACACATGGAAACTGGTCAGACACATGGAAAAAGCTGCTCAGTTCAACACAATCCTCTGAGTGTTTACAGCACTTACTTTCCAGAGTTGCTGGCAAAGGTCTAAAGTCTCTTACAAAGTTAATGCCTCTTTCAGATAAGCAACTCCCCAAGTGCATTCAGGGCCTTAACAGTTAAATAATCACACTCTGACCACTGTTTTTTTTATCAGTCAATGCTTAAGAGTGGGGGGAAATAAGTAAGACACTGAATTCTTTCAGTTCCACACAGGCTGCTTTGCAAAGTGTGACGCTACAACAGTGGCAGTGGGGTATTATTACCATCAATCATTAAAGAAGGGTAAACTGATACAGCTGCAAAGTTTTCAAGACAGACAAGTTTGTTTAGCCAACAACTGCCTTCCAGCAGGAGCAGCAACATTGAGTCTGAATGAGCATCAGGAAAGATATATTCAATTTCCAACGTTGTGTGAAGCAGGGTTTTTAAGGGAAGTAGTTTCACCTCTAAGTTCTGAAGCTTCCTGGATGGTCAACACTGAACTTCCAAGTACCAACCACATCTCACAGCAAACCAACACACTAATGACTGAAAAATCAATAATCTGGAAGTTTGTAAGGGAAATAAATAGAAAGCAAAAGATTAACCAAGCACATAGATAGATGGTGGAGCTAAATATCCTCTTTTAACCACAGCCACGTTGACACTGCTGGCCTGGATCCTCACTGAGAGAATTTGGTACTTCTGATTTAAAAAGTAACCAAATCAAAGCAGAAGTTACTGACCAGATCAAGCTCAAGAACAGAACACCATGGAAAGCCTGAAACCCCAACGTGCAGCAAAGCAGCTTCAAAGTGATCAGGAAATCAAGATCTGTTTTGCAAATGTAAATCTACTGATTTCTCCAGCTGTCCCTGGGATTTCAGTGTGCTCCTACAACCCCTCCATTCCCTGGGAACACAGTGACTGTCTGTCTTTAGCCCACTTTACTACGTTCTTATCCAGGAAGTTAAAACTGAAGCCAAGCTTAATCCTCCCTCTGCAGAGGAATTTTGAAGGAAAAAATGTCTTGGAACATATTACAGGGAAGTCAGCCTCAATCCTTAAGTTTCCTGGATAACAAAGTGCACAAAGTGCCTTTTGCACCACTCAAACTGGTGCTTTTGGACCAAACTGCTCATCAAATTAATTGCCAGATAAGAAAGCAGAGCCTTTAAAACTGAAGGCCAGTGCTAAACACTGCATTGAGGAAGTAACAGGATGTAATTATGGAAGTAAGTGAGATGATTTTTTAAACTGCAAAATGAAACAGGTAATGCAAAGTGAGCTAAAGAGGAAAAGGGAAAATACACATTTGCCAGAATTAAACCCAACTTCCATAATCCCGGGGGTGAAAGGCTGCTTTGCTAAAGCAATGAAAATCTTGAACATTTCTTAATTCTGTGTCAGTGAACAACATCAGGGTGGGTAAAGAGCCACCCCAGAGACAGAAATCAGGCAGCTGAGTTATTTAGTTGAGGCCAAGTTCCCAGCAGTGGTTAAAAACATTCCTCAAGTGCTCTTCATCTTGGCCTAACACTGAACTGAGAGCTGTATTTGCTGTCCATGCTTGGCAGCAAGGGAAGAGAATGGGTGGAAAGAAGAAAATATGAAAGAAAATCACACACTCAGAACAGATCTCTGAGGGCATCACTGAGGGAGCTCCATGTGCTCTCAGCAACTCCACGGTAAGGAAGTCCCTTTCCAGGAATATGGAAACCCTCCACGGATTTGTGCTCTGTGAGAGCTCCAGTGAAACAAGGGAGGTGGCTGTGCAGGGTCTGTTCCCCTCAGCCTTGGATGGAAGGGACAGAGCCAGGGAACAGGTCAGTGCTGAGGGTGAGGATGCACCGACAGCCCAGAGGCACAAGTGAGGTAGTTCGGTCAAGATGTGGGACCATCTCCTCGCAGGGGTCTGACAACCTTCACTATCAGCTCTGAGATCACCCTCTCTCATCCCCCAAGGCCAGGAGATGACTAAACCAGCCCACCTCAGCAGTGATTTGTGTGCTGCACCTCCCTGCATGGCACAGACATGCACTGGATCCATCTTCCCGTAGGGAAGAAAACTCCCCTGTGTGTCTGTGCCCCAGAGAGGAGCTGAATGAGTTCAGATTGCAAGATCCAGAATAATCCAGGCTTTAGACACCCTGGAACCCAACCCCTCATCGCCTGCTCCAAAGCCACCGGTCTGCCAGCCTGGCGCTCTCCAGTGGAACAGGAAGGTTATTCCCAAGGGACTCACTTGTACTCTGTAGTGTTGGAGGTTCTCCTAGTGCCTGGGATCTCCTCCCCGTTCTTCACCCAGTAGCTGGCGGTGAGGGGGCTGGGGCTGGTGGTGAGGTTGCACTGCAACGTGACGGCCACCCCGGAGACGTGGAGCACCACATCCTCGCTGGCGTTGATCCGGGGCTCTGAAACGAGGGGACACCACACATAGCAACTCACCTCCCCCAGGCACTGCCACGCTAGTCTAAAATCCAGGGGGGAATCGGGAAGGGAAAGGGACTACACAGGGAATGTCACTGCACTAGTTGGGAGACAGCGAGAAAGCCACAATAAACAGCCGACCACTAGTGAAGGCAACACCTTAGGGATCAGCACTCCTGGATGGGAAGAAGAGAGTTATTTAGATGGTTTGTTCTAATATTCACATGGCTACAGGTTTCTAGGTGACACCATTAATGATTTTTTGCACATTACTGACCATAACACGGGAGAACACATGTCCTGTGAGTGTACATGAGACCAGCTTGTCCTCCAGAGGCTTCTTTCTGGCTGTTACTTTGATTCCTCTACTCTGAGGTTTAAACCAAACCCATTTTCTATACAGAACAGCCCTCAAACTTAAGACTTCTGAATAATATTTTTGGATTTCCCCCTGCAAACAGAGTAAAGTCTACCCATGGAAAATATGCTGCGCACACAAGAGATTTCAAAGAGCCCAACTTCCATGGTGTCTGAAACGGGGCCAACACCCAGCGTGGGTAAGGCAGAGCCTGGTGAGGAGTGGCTGAAAGCAGCCCTTACACAGCGTGTTAGAGTTGGACCTATTTTGTCTCTAAAGTAACCTTAAACATAAACATTAATGAAGGGGGGGGGGGAAAAGGAGCCTCAGTGCATAAACAGACCCCAGGAGTTACTCACTTTGCTGGGAACAGAACCCAGGCTGTTCCACTTCACAACCTTACCTGGTAACAGCAAATTCACTTTTTTTTTTTAAGGGGAAAGCCTTTCAGAAGTGTTCAAATTAGTAGGAGGGCACTGTCCTTACATTTGATGGCCACATGTGCTTAAAATCATGCAGATGGCTCTCACTCACTGACAAATACGGCTGGTGAACTTTTGGCACAGTCAGAGACAAGTTTCTTCCCAAACTTGGAAAAAAGACCTTTCTATGGAAGGTCTCAGGGCTCACATCTGGTTTCAAGCATTCTGTAAAAAAACCACCTAACACAGGATGACAGAGCTTAAAAGAAATTAAGAATTCTTGCTGTTAGTCTTCAAAAAGTACCTAATTTAACAGTGGCTCTGGTTTCAGCTTGGACTAGAGGCCAAGACTATGGGGTCTCTGCTGTTCAGGTGCTGCTGTGCCTTCAGCCTTGGATTTATTTCCTTACTTTAAAGGGTGAAATGGATTCCCAAGAGGTGGCTGCTGCCAGTTGCTCATTTCTCTGACCATGCCCATGGTTGGCAGCACCAGCCCCTCTGGATGCAGGAGCTGCCTCTCCCTGCTCCGGGTAGGAGGTGAGGCAGCAGGGCAGTAACCAACACCTTCATGATTTCTGCAAGCCAAAGGAGTTTGAATCCTGTAAACTCTGCTACACCTTGTGGTAACAATTTGGAGAGTAAGTTTAGTTGTATCCATGTAGTCTTTTGGCTGCTCATCTGCAAAGCACTTGGAATGCAAGTTATGAAACAGAACGAGGGGGATGGAAAATACTGGTTGTGTCAGAAACATCACAATTCCCAACACACACATTCCTCTGTCCTTAAATTACTGCCCAGAGAGGCAGGGAGAAAAAATATCCACCTGCCAATAACCTGATGGAGCATTCCAGTCCTGTGCATCCCTTCTCCAGCAGGCTGGCTTTTTTTGAGAAGTCCTCCTTTCCACAGCTATTTAAACCCAGGACTGGTATTTACCTGCAGAAACACTGGCAGGTACTGCAGGAACAGAGGGGGTTTGACTCTTCCCACAGACATTTTGCTCTTATCACACATTTTTAACTGTGTTTCTGCCTCCTTCCTCCCACCCAGGGGATTTCATCCTTGCAAGGATCTCTTTGGGTCCTCCAGTACAAAGCTGTTGTGTCACAGCCATATTACTGGACTGCCCTGAGTGCTTTTCCATCCCCAACAAAAAGCTCATTTGCATTCCCAGAAAAATACAGAGCTATGGAAATATTGTCAGCACTGTGTTTGAAACAGTAATTCGGTGTCTGACTTGCAACTTCTTTAGTTTTAGTTTAGGAAAATGAAAGGCAACTGCAGTCTCACATTCACCTTTACCTGCATTTATGGTATTTTGTTTATAAAAAAAAAGCTATCAGGCATTCCTAGCCTGATTTAATTCCAGGAGACAAACTGCAACTGGAATACTGCTGGGACAGTGACATCCAGAGGAAGGTGTTCACCTACAAGAGTCACTTTTTACACGACTTAAACTGCCCATTTTATGTAAGACCAGCTTTCAAAGTTAAAAACCAAGCAAACCAACTAAAGAAAGCCCAATAAGTGAAACTCATGTTGCAGTTTAGGAATGAGGCAGAAGGCAGACAGGAGTTCTTGGGTGCTAAATTTTAAAAATCAAGCTGCACTTGATCTCTTCCAAGGACAGGAGTGGAGGTTGCGCTCTTTGAGACACTGGGCCTTTCCTTTCAGCAATGCTGAGGTCAAATATTGGCAGCAGCAAAATGGCCACTATTAACTGGAAATTCCAACTGTTTAGTGAGACAAATCCCACTTCAAAGGCAAATTGTGTTCAGACACACAATAGAGCAGCTGAGACAATTTGGGCAGGCTCAGATTAGATGGTCTCCAGGTCTCCAACCTCCTTGGAAACTCTCTCCCACCTTATCTCTGTTTCCAGGCAGGAGCTGGATGTCCCCGGGGTCTTTCCCAAGCAGCAGCAGGTCAGATCTCTTATCATACACAACATTACAGAGCAAAGGCATTAAAGTATTTGATTCAACATTTGCCCCACCACGAAAGCAGAATTATCCTGGGCACAAGGCACTTGGCAAGGGAGTCACCACACACATTCCTGAATTAGTAACACCAGATGCAACAAGGAGTTAACTGGGGAGGAAGATGAAGGTTAAGCTCCAGTCCCTGGAGCAGGTTAGTACCAATGGCCTGAGAGAGGGAAAACCCACTTTGCATATGGAAAACTCACAGCAACTCATTCCCAAGGGTTGGCTTTGCATATGAAAAGGATTTTCTCCCTCAGCAGGTCACTCCAGCTGGCTGGACACAGCCAGAGGAGCTCAGGACCCACCACTCTCCAGAGACCCCACAGGTCTGGACAGGGCAGGGGGATTTCCAGGAGACATCACTTCTAGAAGACAAATTTCTGGGCTTTATCTCAAGGTAGTATCATTTCCTAAGATTACAGGCTCTTGCTGCTGTAGGTCATGCAAGCAATCCAAGTCCTTTGGGACCTCAAAGGACCAGGGAGGAATCAAGGATTCAGTAGGACTGAAAGCTGAGCAGGTTCGAGCTGAACCACCCAATGCCACTTAAATTTTTTAAGTCAATCCACATCATTGGGTTCACTGTCTGTTTTTCCACATGTATCAATGCTGTTTCCATTTTCCAGAGGGAAGGTCTCTGATCCAGCAGTGCTGACTGCAGCACTATAGTTTAGGGGGTTGGGGTTTTTTTAAGGTATTCAAATACATAACTGAGGCATAATTACAGATTTGACATTTTTGTACCCAGACAAAACTCCAGGTGGTGCATAAAAGGTTTATTTATGCACAAAGGACAAGAGCAAGACAACAGCTTTGCTCTGCTCTTTTGTCACCTTAGGACACTGGGTAATCATGCAAAAAGTGAGTTCTCCTGCACCTCTAACATGGCAGATTTAATTCCCTCTACCTACAACTCCTTAGACATTTGCTTCACTATCAGCAAAGGCAAGAATTTTACATCTTGCCCAAAAAAAACCCGGGTTCTTCACTACTGATTCTGACAGCATCAATTCCCAGACTCATCCAGGATGGCTTTAAGAGCAACCTGAAGGCAGGAAAAGCCTTGTAACAACAAAGAACAAAAAGCAATTCTGGGCCAACCACGGTCTCTGCTCCTGAGAGCTTTTCTGCTGCCAGAAGTTGCCTCCCTGGCTTAAAGTCATTTAGCTGGAGTTGTTAGTTCAGCTCCGGGGAGGGTGTTCCCCCCTCTCCTTTCACAGCCTGGATTAGGAATAGCTGCATCACTTCAGTGCTGCTGCATCAGAGAACTCATTAGGAACATGCTGCTGTTCAGGAAGGAAAAGAAACACCACGACTTCATGGAAAAATCTAAACATTAAAGGTGACAGGTAACTGGAAGGGAAGGATTTATACAGAAGCAGATATGCAACCAAAACAGGCGAGAAGGCATTCAGAGAAATTCCAAGAGAAGGGAAGAAATCAAAATAAAATGGTTAGACCTGGGAAGAACACGGAAATCAAATATAAAGGCACTCGTGGAGAAGCCGGGGAGGCTGGAAACCTTCTACAAAACTAAAAGGGGTAGGGAAGAAACACAAATCCAACACCGAGCTCGTGTTCACACAGAAGCTCTAAAACAGATCCACAGATTTTCCCAAGTGCTTTGATCCTAAGGAGAAGAGACATGGATGGCAGACAAGGTCAGCACTACGGGTGGAGGAGCGGTCTGGGGGGCAGCACAAGAGGGCAGGGAGGCAGAGGGGTGGGGATAACGGGATCGGGGTCACTAGACTGCCTCTAGGAACTACAGTGCCACTACGGTGGGTGCCGGACTCACTCTGCAGGACGCTTATAGTAGCCTGGGCTCGAATCCACGTTATGGAGGGATTTTGCCTCAAGTCATTCCTCCTGGGATCGTTGCTGGCCCTGCACTCGTAAGTCCCAGAGTCTTCCAAGGTAAGGCGGGTTATTCTCAGCACACTCACCCCATTGGCCCCGTAGGCAGTGTTAATGGTGACACGGCGCTTCCGAGCGCCATCCCACAGCTGTTTGAAAGACTCAGCCCGGTTGACTTCAGCATACCACCACTGGATCTCTGGAGTGGGGTTCCCAACCACATCACAGTACAGTTCAAAGGCGTCCCCCGTGAGCTTAGTTTCTGACATGGGCGACTTGACAAACCCAGCTAGAGGGAGGGGCAGCAGAAACGCAGTGACAGAGCGGCAGAAAACAAGAGATCTTATACACAACAAAGCAATGAGGTGCAGAAAACAGAGTTAGAGAAGACATCTACAGTAACACAACTTGCATAGAGAACCACACGTGGAGCACTCGTGGATGGAGGGCCACAGTCAGGGCAGGGCACTCCCACCCCGAGTGGCCATCCGTGCCAGCAGTACCTGCTCAGCAGCCAGGAGGGACCTCCAGGCAGACTGATGGAGATTCAGGCCCTTTTGAGTGGTGTGGACCTTGTCGTTGGCCAGGGTTAAGTGTTCAGGACCTCATGTCTGCTCTCTGAAGAGGTTTCTTTATCTGACCTATCTACAAGGGCAGAAGGGGTAAACCCCTAAACTGAGTTCTGCTCTGACCTCCTCTTCCATCTATTTAGGACTTCTGAGGCAGGGAATTCCCCAAGACACAAGTGACCTATTTTCCTGAAGTAGCTGGATCACCCCAGCTCCAGGAGAGTCACAACCTTCTCAGAGAAAGGGAGATTCGGTGGTATAAACACACAGAGGCCCAAAAATTGTTTTGTTAGAGAACAGACAGCACCAAAGGTACTTCAGCAGCCCACAGAACTCTGAGAAGAGATGCCGTGCTGACATTCGTGCTCAGGCCAAAATATCCTTATTATGGCATGAAATCCTTCAATACTTACCAGCTTCAGAGCCGTGTTAAGAGCACAGACATCCTAAATTGTCCTTCAATCCTATTTTCAAAGATATCTATGGAGAACAGTGTTGCCTTAAAGCCAGTCCCTTCCCCCGCCAGGCCCCTCCTTAAACTAAAAGATTAGAACACAGCTGGCCAGACACAGATTATGCAGCAAAACCTGTCATTGCTGTGCTCCTCTTCTCTACTTCCCATGGGTGAGTGGAGTTACAGGGCCACACAGCTGATAGAACTCACTGGTTCTTCCCTCTCCTCAAATTCATGGTTTGTTTTCAGGAAGGGGGCTGAGAGACAAGTCAATGGATTGTAGAAAATGGAAAGGTGGACTTAGAGCCTTAGAAAAATTCACGGTGTAAAAAAGAGCATCTCCCACCCCTCAGTCGTTTGACCCACTAATGAAACAGTGAAACAAAGAGCTGGGTGTGGACAGACAATCACACGGGAAGTTTGCACTACAGATGCATCTCTAAAGAACCATTTGGGCAAGAAAACAAGACCAAGAGTGTCTAGAGCACACAGAGAAATTGCTCCTTGCTGCCATAGTCCTGCTTGAAGAGCAACTGTGCTGCAGGTGCAAGTGACAGACACAAGAACACAGACAGAAAATACATGAACCTCAAAAACTGCTTCCATTACAAACTCATTTGCTCCAGGATTCTCCAGCCTTGCACTCCAGGACTAGAGGAGCTCAGAAAACCTCCAGCAAACAGTCCAGGAGGGAGGAAAGGCCAGTGCACTGCCCATGCCCTCCTTACCTGCCCTGGGCCAAGCTGCTGTCCCCAGGGGTGGACACAGATCCCACAGTTCTTCGCTCTCTGAGGTAACACAGGGCACCACATCAGGATCCTGCTCTGCTGGGCTGTCCCCATTCCAGGGGATGCTGAACCAGGATCCCTGTGTATTCCCACCGAGGTGTAAATCACAGCCAGGCTGGCTGCAGCTCCACATGGTTTGCACACCCCCCAGGCTGGAGCAGCAGCAGGAGGCACAGCCCGGCTCCTTCCCCCCTCCTCCTGGAGCTCTCTCACAGATCACAGCTTCTTCCCCTCCCTTCCACCCTGACACTGAACTGCCACTCTCACCCAGTAGCTCTGGGAAGCAAAGCCCCTTCTCCAGGTTCTCATTTCCATCCCTGCCCAAAGGGTAGGGATCTGCCCTGCCCAAGACATGCCTGAAGGCGAAGGCAGAGCGACCCCAAACCCCAACTCTGCAATTCAATCCTACTTTTCCAGCTGTCCTGGCTACTGAGGAACCATTCCTGGAGAAAGACTTCTTGCCCAGCCTTTGTGGCAGGGCTGAAGGGTGGTAATTGTGTGTTTTCTGTATATTTTAGGATGCCCATGAGCTGCTCTGCTGCTGGGGCTCCACAACAGACACATGTGGGACGGGAGAGTGCTGTAAATCCTCTTATTATAGGGAGTATCCGTAATTTGAATAAAAAGCTGTCAAAAGCTTTCGGGTTTGATTCTGATTCACTAAGCTGTTCTTATAACTTTTGCACAAAGCCTAAAAATAATTTAAAGATATTAAACTGGACAACTGTATCAAATATCCTCTGGCTTTACGTTTTTAACCCCACATTTCCTCTTGAAAAAACCACGTCTCAGATTACGATAAATTCCCACACAACACCACCTTCATCTGAGTACCCCTGTCATCAGCACAGGTAACTCCACCATGATGCAAATTAAAAACACAGACTGGATTTGGTGTCTCTCCCCACCTCACCAAAAGACAAAAAAAAAGAAATAAAAATGCTCTTTAAAAAGCTATTTTGGGTTAGAATAAAATCCTGGAGGGACAAACAGCCTCGATATATAAATTAATAAAAACTTTAAATTACGAAGGACAGTCTGGGGTTAATGTTTTGCATTTTCACTCATTCACAAACAGCAAAGGCAGCACATCAAACAGCATCAGTAAGCTGAGGTGATGCTTCCAGCTACACTCCAGCTGCCAGAGGGCCACTGCCCAGTAAGATATCCAGCCAGAAGCTGCAAAAAGAGCTGAAATCTGCCAGTACCACACAGACATGTTAAAAAAAAAAATCAAAGAAAAGGAAAAAAAAGAGAATGCTCCCTGCAACACAACAGGAGTCTGGAAACTGAGATCCTCCTGCTTTTTGTGAGTTGCCAGCGATTTCCATAATTGTTCAGAAGCAAACAGCAAATGACACTGTACAGATTGCACTGCTTACATAAGAGGTTTCAGAGCCCAGCACTTCCCTTACTTGGTCTTCTCCAAGCACAGCACTCCCTCCTTGCCATGGCCCTGTTCTGCACAATTCTGGAGAGAGCAGCACCGAAATACAAAGCATCATCACAACACAAACAGTCCGAGGGGCCGAGGGTTGGCTGAGGCGATGACACTGGATCTGTTTAACACCAAGAATCTGCCCTTATTTGTGTTCAGAGCCGATTCCTCGTGCAGTGTCAGGTGCAGGACCCAGGGGGTGCAGGAAGCCCTGAGAGCTCACAGGCACCAGCCCTGCCCAGCACAGCCCACCTGAGGGAGGAAGGGGAAACAATCCCGAGATCCCACCTAAAGGTCATCCAGACCCACGGGAAGCAGCACAACAGTCTCAATCCAAAGTGATTCCTTAGTGACAAGCAGAAAGGGAACAAGCACCTTCGAGTGCTCCCAAGGAAAGATCGTTGTGAGGTTTTGCCCCTGTCAGCCTGGCTGATGCTGACAGCTGTATTTATTTCATTACAGCCACAAATGAGCTACTCTGTTCCACAGCCAGTGTTCCTCAGCAGAAGAAAAAGGGAGCTGTTTGAGGGGGAGGGTTTTTCGAGTTTTGGATGTTTTGAAAGCTAATTGCTGTCAAGCACAAAAGAAGGGAAAACCCACAGTTAAATCTCCCTTTACAAGTCTTCCTGATGTACTAGAATGCCAGAAAAACAATGCAGAGGCTATTCAAGTAAACTACGATGTTTCCAACCAATTTATTTATTTTTTAATTTATTTATGGTTTTCTGCCTGAAGTGGCAGTAGTTTTAAATAACTTCTGAAGGGGTTTGTTTACTGCAGATTTGATCTCATCCACAAGTTGTGTGGATAAAGATGAGAAAGACTAATGCTCCAAAACTAGAAAAATATATTAGTCTGCACACAGAATTCCAGTGGTTCTTAATATTTGTAAACTCTCTGTTAAAATTTATGTCGTAGTAAAAGAGCACTAAATCCAGATTACGAAAAAACAGGATCTTGAGAGCTCAAAAATTATTGTAAAATATGCCAGCAGTGACCTACCAGTCTCAGAATATACAAAAAGCAGTACCTGAAAATCATCCTTGAGTTGCAGAAATGATTGTGCTATTGATTCAAATATCCTTTTGTTACTCAAATTTAATCAAGATGCACTAGGCTGCAAAAGAATCAATGCCAAAGGCACTGGAGAGAGTGGAGGGAGAATATTTATTGCCCCAAGTTAAAGTCTGGTCTAAAGAAAGGGGTTTAAAACATAAAAGTCACATTTTGCCTGAGGAAGACACAAGTTTGAGATGACAAAAGGAAATGTTAAACCAGGCTCAAAGACAGAGACAACCAGGCTTAAATGAAATGCAGGTATTACAAAAAGCCTTACCAAATGTAGAACAAACTAATTTAGCTCGTTTTTTATATCTATCAAGCATGAAGATTAAAGCTGAAAACAAGCATCAATGTCAAGTAGAGATGGTCCTGAAAACAAAGCCTGCAGGAATCAGAGAACAAGAAGCTGGGATGCCCAAGGGCTGCCTGGAGATGTGCAAAGCAGGACACAGGCACAGGAACACCCCAAGGTGACCCCAGTGAGGGAAAAACAATGTATTTCCAAGGACATTTTCAACCATGAGGAAAATACAACTGTAACGAGGCAGTTTTATAGTTGGGGCAAAGCAGGGCACATCTCCACCAAGCAGGACAATGCTCTGTCCCAACCTGATGCCATTACTATTTTGAAGTAAATTCCACTTGTATGAAGAGAGAAAGCACAGCTCAAAGCCCTAAAATGAGAGTTTACAAAGCTAGAGCAAAAATCAACACAATTCTCACTATGAACCCACAACACCCAGATCAAACGTAACTGCTTTGGGACTGAATGGTTTACAGAGTGTCTGTAGGGACAGTGAAAACCACCCTGTAAAGCCTCTCAGCCCAGCACAAGTATTCCACTGCTCTCAGGCCTTCAGGAAAGTTCTGGAGATTTTATTCCTGGGCACTGATCAAGACCTTTGCCTCCAATTCCACTTATTTACAGACTGAAGCAAGTACAGCTAACCCAGTCCTTCCTCTGCTTCCCTGTATCTCTCAAATCTCCTAATTAATACAGTGTGATTCATTTGTATG